ATGGCGACAACATCTGGTGAAAGAAAAGAGACTGTTTTGAATATATGTTAAACTCTATATCGGCCCATTTTCCACCGAAATCCGATTGACTACTTTGATTTTAAATAAAGTGTTTCGAATTTTTAGATATTAAATAGAGTGTTTTATTTCATGATTTGTCGCAAAAATTTTAGGTACAGATTGACGGCACTTAACCGCCAAATCTGTAGCTGCGGTGGCGTTAATATGTAAGTACCATTTCGTGCACCCAAAAACGTTTCTGCACTGCTAGTTTTTTTCTTCTAAAATAAAGTAAGAAGTTTGAGACGACGATTATCACCCGGCATATTTAAAGTTCGCAGAAAAAAATCACAACAGAACACAAGCAACTGCTCACTTAAGCTCAAAACATTGAATGAACAAGAATTTCTACTTCTCGGACGAACGATATCGGACAAGTGAAAAAACAATTGCTTGAGCGATCCGGCAACAACATTGTCGTTCACATATTTGTCGTCCGATTTTGTCGGTATCGTGTCGTGTAATGAAAAAGCGCCCTATATACTAAAGTATCAATAATATAAACTTTAAGATTGGAAAGCACATGATATTACAGATTTTTTAAGAAACATTGTCTAGCATCTGAAATTGTTAAAAAAAATTAACGTCAATGAAGAGAAAAAAAAGACTTATGAAAAGACTTCAGCTTTAAATAAATGCCTTAAATAAAATGTAAAAATTAATAATGATTATGCCATTTATTTCAGAAATAATAATTAATAAAAAATTATATAATTTATTATTATTTATTACTTTTTCAGGAAAAAATTATCGCATATTCACCTGAAAAGGTATTGTTTATTTCAACAAATTGTGAACAAAAATTTCCATTATTAGTTGAAATTTAAAACAAACTAGCATATTATACAGTTGGTAACGAAAAGTAAACAAATGCTACTTTGTAACGCGCATTGTAACATTGTAACGTGAACATTGTAACTCGCCAACTTGTCAAAGTAATATCGCCAAACTCTGAACTTCTGAAGTTTTGATGAAAAGATGCTCAAATCTTAAAATTTATAAGTAATTTAGATAGAAATTATGTGTATTAAAAGTAAATACATTTATTCTTATCTAACCATTAGTTATTTCATCACCTTGCTCTCTTTACAATGAGATAAACATAACTTTATATGCACGCAAGTAAGTGATAATAAGGATTAATTCGAATAACTAACAACTATCCAAATTTTCAGCCATAATTTTAACATTACTGTAACTGTGAAGTTTCTCATTGAAAAAAAGTAAGTAATGAACTTATTACATGCATTTATTAATACAAAACATAAATTTTTTGAGTCAGATAATTTTCACTCCGTGTAATTCCAATGGCGAATTTTCCACTCTCGTCTCCGGCGGTAAAGTTTTTCTTTCCACCAATCAGGAATCGTTTCTCCCTTGTCCACACTCTTTTACTCTAGGCACTCTATCGATACCTAGCCAGGTGACCACGGTCTCAACATATATCGAAAGAAGTCGAAAATTCGACTTTTTTGGTTTTAGACACGTATATGAAATTATGTTTATTTTGAATTGCTAGCATGCTACTATTATTTTAATTTTTGAATAAATGAGACGAACGAGTGAAACATGTTCAGCGTGTTTTTTTTCCCCTGGAAAGGAATTCATGAGGAAAGAACTGCGCAAGCAAATTCGAGTGTTAGCGACTTATAGAGAGCAGGGGAGAGTGCGCAATAGCTATTAAAAAAAAACATTATAAAACAAAACATTATAATAAAGAATATTGACGAAGAAAATGTAAATAATAATAAAAAAAATAGGCTCTTTTGAAAAATAAATATAAATGATAAAAGAATACGAAAAATTAATAAATATTGCTATCTATTATAAAAAATAAAGAAATAGTGAAAAATAACAAATTATTTCAAATTAATAAGCAAATAATTTTTCTGAAGCAAATTTTCTTCAGTTTCGGACCAGCGACCTTTTAAGTAAACACTGCACCATCGGGATATCAGGATTTTTTTTATGTGCAACGTGAAATTAGTTTTTTTCTCTGGAAAAAGGAATTCATTTAGGAACCATTCGAGTAGTTTAAAAATAAGTAGCATGATCGAATTTCCCACCTGTAAATCTGTAATTTAATTTTGTAGTAAAACTTAAAAGCAATAAAAGCAACTTCATTCCATAATATCATTGAAAATTTTAAAGAGTTAAAAATTAACCTACTCTTCACATTGCAATCTTTTTTGAAAAATGCGTAACCATCTTTTGTGTTAAAACTTAAGTCTCAAAAATGATGAACATTACAATGTTTGTCACCCACGTTTTTTCAATTAAAACAGGTTTAAAAAATGTTCTGCAATATAAAATTACTTTTTAAAAAAAAGTTTGTTTTTTTTCTCTCTCTCACTATCCACGGCACTTATCCTGCAAATCTTTCAAAAACTTCTTCACAATATTTGCACACAAATGTTTCCAAAGTAAAAAAAATAAAAAAATATTTGGACATGCAAAAAATTTTTAAAAAATACTGTTATTAATATTTATTTTTACTAATTATTTATTATTCAGTTTAATTATAATTTATTATTATTTAATTAATTAATTATAATTTATTATTATTTAATTAATTAATTTTAATTTACTATTATTTAATTAATTAATTATAACTTATTATTATTTAATTAATTATATTTATTATTATTTAATTAATCATATTTATTATTATTTAATTAATTATATTTATTATTATTTAATTAATTAAGATTATTAAATTAATTCTCTCAATTTATTAATAATTATTATTAAAATTATTATTAATTATTTTAATAATAATTATTATTTTTCTCAATTGCTATTCACTTGATTATTTCTTTTGAAAGATTTTATTTTTAATATTCTCCATCACTATTCTCTAGATAACTATTCTATTTGGTAGTAAAATTTAAAAACAACTTTTTAATATCTTTGAAATTTGTAAGGAGTTAAAAATTTACCTACTCTTCATTTTGCAGTCTTTTTTGGAGAGAGTGCTACCATTTTTCGTGTTACAACTGCAGGTCTCAAAAATGCTAAATATTGCAATGTTTGTCGCACGCGTTTTTAAGTAAAACTGCTTTAAAAAATGTTCTGCAATATAAAATTATTTTAAAAAATAAAAAATTTTCTCTCTCTTACTATCCACAGCATTTATCCTGCAAATGACGAACTTTGAAAAACATCTTCACTATATTTGCACACAAATGCTTCCAAATTAAAAAAAAAGAAAAAAAATAGTTAGTCATGCAAAAATAAATAATTAAAAATAAATAAACAATAAAAATTTTTAAAAAATATTGTTATCATTGTTCTCTGGTATTTATTATTACTAATGAATTATTATTCAATTTAATTATAATTTATTATTATTAAATTAATTAATATTATTAAATTAATTATCTTAATTTATTAATAATTGTTATTAAAATTACTAATTAGTTTAATAATTATTTTTATTCTTTATTACTATTCTCCCGAGTATTTCTCTTGAACGATTTTAATTTCACTATTCTCTATTACTATTCTCTTGAATTAATTACCATTATTATTTCAATTAAAAAGTAACACCATTAAAAAATTTGGCACTCCCCCACTCTTTTAATTTAAACTAGTCGCAAAAAACATCTAAAGTAACGAAAGCTATCTTCCGGAAATTTTCATTTAGTTGTTGTAGTTGTAATTGTAGTTCATTTACGTCACGCAAGAGCTGCACAATGGGCTATTGGCGACGGTCTGGGAAACATCCCTGATGATGATCCGAAGACATGCCATCACAATTTTGATCCTCTGCANTCTCTCTGACTATCCACAGCATTTATCCTGCAAATGACGAACTTTGAAAAACATCTTCACTATATTTATTTGCACACAAATGCTTCCAAATTAAAAAAAATTAAAAAATAATTAGTCATGCAAAAATAAATAATTAAAAATAAATAAATAAATAAACAATTTTAAAAATATTGTTATCATTATTCTCTAGTATTTATTATTTCTAATGAATTATAATTCAATTTAATTATAATTTATTATTATTTAATTAATTAATATTATTAAATTTATTATCTTAATTTATTAATAATTATTATTAAAATTACTAATTAGTTAAATTATTATTTAATTATTATTAATAATAATAATAATAATAATAATATTAAATTATTAATTAAATTATTATTTTAATGATGATTATTTTTATTCTCTATTACTATTCTCTCTATTATTTCTCTTGAACGATTTTAATTTCACTATTCTCTATTACTATTCTCTTGAATTAATTACCATTTTTATTTTAATTTATGAGTTAAAAAGTAACACCATTAAAAAATTTAGCACCTCCCCCACTTTTTTAATTTAAACTAGTAGCAAAAAATATCTGAAGTAACGAAAGCTATCTTCCGGAAATTTTCATTCAGCTGTTGTAGTAGTAATTGTAGTTCATTTACGTCACACTAGATCTGCACAATGGGCTATTGGCGACGGTCAGGGAAACATTCCTGAGGATGATCCGAAGACATGCCATCACAATTTCGATCTTCTACAGAGGGGATGGCACCCCTGCTTCGGTAGCCCAACGACCTGCACGTGAAGACGAGCACTTTACGGCAGAACAGTTTAATGAGGAACAATACCGCACACCCTCGGACCCTACGCAGACTGATCCAAGTGGTCACCCACCCTCAACCTGATAGCAAACAGTAATACTTGACTGCGGTGATCTGCTGAGAACCGTGTCTTAACGATCAGTCCACTGCGAGACAAATTTTCACTCAGAAAATTTTAGGAAAGATTTCAATTTAGCTAGCGTTTTCACTGCATACGAACGTACATGCTCGTGTGATTATTTAACTGCGGGCCAACGCTTGAATCACATCAATGCTTAATTGCACGTGCGAATTGCAGTGAGCGGGAATGGTTCCTGAGATTTTTAAAAATGACGAAATGATATTTAGTCAGCGGTCATATTGGTGAACAAACATAGACAACTGAAAACGTAAACAAAGATTGTTGACACTTTACAGAAGGAGATGAAACCGGTGATGTTTGTTTGAATAGCAGTATACCTGCCAACTTGGCACATTTCATAATTAACAATCTGTTATATTGCTTTGAAATTGTGAATATTTTAAAATGGAAGACTTCAAACAGCGATTAAAATACGATGATATCGCCATTCGCACCCGAGTATGCGTTTATTTTCTGTTTATTTTGTTCAATAATAAAGTTTTAGAACGATTGTCAAAAGGCAATACATTTGCACTCCTCATAAATTTGTTTTATAATAAATGCACGCTTAATTTTCTGCATTTTTATTTATACCATTAAAAAATATTATTTGTTAGGTTGACTGAAGAACTCACATGCAAGTATTGCAAACATAAATAAAAGTTTTGTTGAGATACACTGTATAGTTTTATTTTATGAACCATTTAAGCTACAAAAATTTTTGTCCGTATTGCGTAGTTCATGGACTTAACATATGGTTAAGAATTGGGAAATATCTATTAAAGCTAAAACGAGACAGAGTAATATAAGTTAGCAGAATACTTGAAAATTTTCTTTTATGGCACATAGGCTTGTTTTAAAAGTAATTTTAATCAAATTAATTATTTCAATCCATATTATTACAATTTGTAACGGTACATAAAAAGTGTAAGGCTTTTGGGTTTCTTTTTGTTTAACCTTAATTCATAATTTAGTAATAAAAGTATTGTAAAACTTTCATAGTGTAATTCCAGCTACAGTCATTTGTATATATGTACCGGAATCAAAATTCTTACTCATAAACAATACCAAGTTGCATGTGTAATTAGAATTATAATAATAAGACCAGAGCAAGAACAAAAAATTAATCTTATGAACTTATTGTAGTTAAAAACTCTTTTCTTGGAAAAACAAAACTCTGCTTCATCAAAGAACAATTTAAGAAGTTAAAAAAAAGAGTTAGAGGTTAAATTTAAATTAATTATTGCAATTTAGAACAGCCATGATATATAATTAATGTCCAGATGGCAACAACAACAAAAATCCGAGTAGAGAAACCATATCATCAACAGATAGATAATCATATATATTACTTTAAAAGTTAACCACAATATGGGATGGTGCACATAAATGGAAAAATTGCATAAATAGCCATTTATTTGAAGGCTAAAACAAATTCATGAATTACAATTCTAAGTCAACTCTCAAGACAATATATCTTTGATTTGATAGATATTTTCTATTTATGATTATTTTCCAAACTTACGATTAGTGGTGAACTTCCCAGAGAATATATGGTTGTCATTCTGTTTATTACGTAGGTTTTTTTAGTCTGTTTTCTTTTGTTACTCATCAACAACATCTATGTTTTTGTTTTTTCAAGATTGGTAGGTATATATGTTGTAAAGTATGTTATGAAAGTTATGAAGAAAAAATTTTGAAGTTACAAATCTTACAGTTCAGGGCTGATTGTGCTCCGGAAAAAATCCGGATTTCCGGATTTTTCACTAATTGTGATCCGGAAGTTTCCGGAGATCGAAGGTTCAGATGTTTAAAAAAATCGGTGATCACAAAAGATTTCGGAAATCAAATTTTCAAAAATGGAACTTAAAAACGCAGTTTATTTTATTTGTTTATAAGAGAGCTACTTTATAAGCTTATATTCAAGATTAATATTCATTTTTTATCAGTAAATAGTTATTATAATCATAAACTCAAGAAAGAGAGACATATTTGTAAATTTCAATTGCTTCTCCAGGTCATCATAGGTATGTGTAAAATTTTAAATATATTTTAAGTAAACTAGGAAATATTGAGAAAAAGGAAAAAACCTTGTTTAAATTTTTTTTCTAATTTTTCAGTTTAAACTTTTTTTCATTTATTTATTTTTTTTTTTTACTCACGAAATTTTCCGGAATTTTGACTGGGGCTCACAATCACCCCTGACAGTTATATGAAGGAAAAAAAACATAAATTATAAACTTTATTTTTTTTTTCTTCTTAATAAAATGCATATATTTTTTAGTGTGTTCAAAAATTAGTTCAGATTGTTAAGAAGAAGACCAAAGGCGAATTAGTTACAGCCTCATCAAAGCAAGTAAGATAAAAATTAATTATATTGTTGTTTCAATAAATATTCTTTATTTGGTATACTTTTTCATATTTAAGAAAACCTCTTTTGCATCTGGAATAACTTTAATAATTTATGCATAAATAAGTAAAACATATAGTTTATGCTGTCAAAATTTCATCAATAAAACTTTCTATTAATTTAATTAAATATGTAGATCATCAGGTATTCTCTCTATCTTGACTAAAAGATGACTTACATTACATTTTTTACTTTACTTTACATGTTTAAATGTACAAAAATTGAACAATAAAAAAATATCTATTTTAACTAAAAAAAGTATTAAAATCATTTTTTTCTTTTTTTTGAATCTGCGTATTCTCTCCATAAGAGATTTCAATATAAACTTAATTTAAATCTGTGTTATTGAAGAAAAAAAAGAATTTCTCTGATGTGTATTCTTAATTGTTTTTAAAATTCTTTTATCTGTCAGTATTTTGTATCTTAGAGATTTCTATAGAATGAATAAAACATGATAGTATTATCAAACATAGTCGCAACTCAAAATGAAATGGAAATTTTTTTTTGGTTATTTTTAATCAGTTAACGAATACTTTATATATGTGTAGTATTTAGCAACATTGTAATACTTTTAAAAAATATATAGAAAGAATGAAAAGTTAAGTAATCTAAAACAGAGGAAGTAAAAGTAAGTTAAAAACATTTTTTTCTCAATTTTGTGACCTTTTTTTTTTTTCTTTCAAGTATTTTCCAATACACAATGTTCTAGTCATGTTTGATGCATTATTAGTAGCGTTTATAAGCTTAAAATTGGAGTAATGGAATCAGACTGAATTAGTTTAACCCTTTAATTTGTTAGCTTGGATAATTATGTGGATAGTATATAATTATATGGTTTGTTTTGTTTGTTTGTTTTTTTCATTGCTGTGTAGATGTGCATAAAATAGTTCTTCCTATATATATATAATATTTAAAAAAATTATGCTTTTTTTTTTTTACTAAAATGCTTAGTTATNTTTTTTTTTTTTTTTTTTTTTTTTTTTTTTTTTTTTTTTTTTTTTTTTTTTTTTTTTTTACTATATCGAAAAAAGATAGAATTTGATGCCAATAATAAAATATTTCTATTGGCCCAATCAGTCAAGATATTCATTACATTCACTTTACAGGTTACTCACTTTACAATGAGCATCTAACCAAATTAGTCAAAGTGAATGATTTTTAATTATTTATCATTATAATGTAAATACTGGTGATCAAATCTAATAACTGATACATTTTCTAAATCACCAGGTGAATCCGAATTATTTTATCAATAATAAATATCATTATAAAATGTGCAGCTTTGATGAATAACCTGACATTAATAAATCAGGGAATTACTTAGAATTACTAAAAGTCGAACCTTTAATTACAATTGTCAATTTTTCAAAAATTTTCAGATTCCAGAGCTAAATTTACTTTGGGAGTCTTGCCTTTGTGATTCTCCATCAACTGCTGATTTTGTTATTCAGGGTTTAGTTTACCTTGTTGTGAATAAAGTCATAGATGTCAGCTATGCTGTCAACAAGTTTCTTGGTAGCATTTCTTCTACTGGGTAATATGTTTTGAGACTTTTTTTTTTTTAACTTTTATGCAATTTATTTATAATTTGCATTATTTTTTATAATCAGAAATACTGGGAATTGTTTTAGAATTTAATAAATAGAAGGTTTTAAAAATAAAAGATTCTATGCTAAAAATTCAGTTTAGTACTGATTCTAATAGCAAAAATATTCTACTTTCTGAGCAAGTAAACTTCTACAAGATTTATATTTTCAACTATGTATGTGTAGAGACCATTCTCTTTATATTCGATTTAGGCAAACTCATGCAGCTCCTATTTTTTCTGAACTTACTTCCACATACAAATGGTCCCTTACATTATGCCCACACCTGATGATACTACTGCATTATAGGGATCTCTGATATAAAAATTAACTTTATTTAAAAAAAAATTATAATTAAAAATTGTTGATTCTGACAACTGTAATAATAAGCTAGTTAAAACTCTAAAAATAAATTTGTTAATCCTGGAATATTTGGGGAATAAGCTGTGCTTATTGATTAAAAAAATTCTGTCATTAACCCTTTGACGCAGATGGTACACTGGTGTCCCTTTTATGTATATGTATATATATATTTTTTGGTGCTCTATTTACAAGCAAAAATATATTTTTATATTTTTAATTATGAAAATAGTCTAATAGTTACCAAAACTGTTAGATTATCAGAATTATATTTGTTCTAAAATATAAAATCTAAAAAAGTTATTTTCGCTTATATTCAAAAATGTTTCAGTAAATGATTTTGTAAATTAAGAAAATTTAAAGGATAAATAACTTTTTTTCTTAGATCTAAAAAACTGCAAATTCGAAAAATTATTGTTTGGAAGTAGGCTGTGTTTGAAAATTTTTACCTTCAATGCAAAAAAAATCATTGGTGTTTCATGCTATATTACATAACCATAAATTATTAAAATGCTAGATGTAATATTTTTCACTTATTTTGGCCTAAATTAATATAAAATAATAAAAAATGTATTTAATAAAAATTCTGCGTCAAGTGTTAAATAAAGGCATTGTTGTCCTTTAAGAAAAAAACTGTGTAGGATGTTAGTGTTGTAACTGTAAATACACAACTGGAATGAGGGAGTGCTTCTTACCTGTGTGGTTTTTAATTTAAATATTTGCCTCTTCTTGAGGGGATTTCCAACNGGAGTATATGAATATATATATTTTTTGGTGCTCTATTTACAAGCAAAAATATATTTTTTTATTTTTAATTATAAAAATAGTCAAATAGTTACCAAAACTGTTAGATTATCAGAATTATATTTGTTCTAAAATATAAAATATAAAAAAGTTATTTTCGCTCATATTCAAAAATGTATCAATAAATGATTTTATAAATTAAGAAAATTTCAAGGATAAATAACTTTTTTTCTTAGTTCTAAGGAACTGCAAATTCGAAAAATTATTGTTTGGAAGTAAGCTGTGTTTGAACATTTTTACCTTCAATGCAGAAAAAATCATTGGTGTTTCATGCTATATTACATAACCATAAATTATTAAAATGCTAGATGTAATATTTTTCACTTATTTTGGCCTAAATTAATATAAAATAATAAAAAATGTATTTAATAATTCTGCGTCAAGTGTTAAATAAAGGCATTGTTGTCCTTTAAGAAAGAAAAATGTGTAGGATGTTAGTGTTGTAACTGTAAATACACAACTGGAATGAGGGAGTTCTTCTTACCTGTGTAGTTTTTAATTTAAATATTTGCCTCTTCTTGAGGGGATTTCCAACAATAGGAAAGCAGCTTACCAATTTCTATTAAGTAATTAGCTCTACTTTGCTTAGGTTTTAGGAAGAAAAAAAACTCTTTACTCGATTTAGAACCCGGTTTTGTTTGTATTAAGTGCTAAGACGAGACAATATTTACATTTTCGCTATAAGCTGAATTAACAGTTAACTTAGCTACCACATAAAATGAATAGTTGACTAGTTGTGTATTATCGGTTTTCAAAAGAGATTGTTAATCAGAACACCAAAAAAAATATTGTTTTAACTGTACATTAAATTTTTAAAAAAGGGAAAGAAAACTGGTTTGGTGATTATTTAGAATTAATTATCATCCGCTTAATGTATTGGAAAAATTAGACTTAAAATGGTGCTATGTTTCTTGCTCGACCAATATATCTTTTAATTGTAACTGTACAACTTAAACCTGATTGATATATGTTTTTATTACTTCTTACAGTAATGCTCCTGCTCTAGTTAAAGGTATTTCTAAAATCCTGATTCATCAACATAAGAAAAAACAGGATAATACTCTTACCAGTCTATATTCCTTGCAGTAAGTAAAATTTCAATTGATGAATTATAATGATTGAGTTAATTTGTTTGTAAACATTTATAATTATTTTTTCTCTTAATTTTCTTTTACAGTCATCCAAAACATCCTCTAATAACTGTTTTGCAAAACAATGAAGATTACTTACCTTTAATTCTCAAAAATATTGCCGATGCTGTTGCTCAAGAAAATATTGTGTAACTATAGTTTTATTTAAATGTTTTAGCTTTATTTATTTTGTATAGTTTTATTTATTTTGATGTTATTGAACAATTAATGAAACATTTTAGACAGTGTTTAAGGAATATTATATTTATAAACTGATAAATATAATTTAAACAACTTTTTTTCTAATATATGTTGATGTTGTTGAAGCTCTCTATACATTTTTATAATATAAATAAACTTGTTCAATTTTTCACTTTTGTACATGTTAACAGTTATAATCATTAAATATTGAACAATATGTTTGACAGAGAAATTACATTATAACATTTACTATTTTTTATTGTTTCTTCATCATATGCTATAAAGTTAAGTGTCAAATATTAATTTTTTAAATAGTTTTTAATTGTTTTGTAGTTAATTGTTTAATAGTTTTTAATTTTTATTAGTTTTTAATGGAAACACCCTAGATTATGAAGGTGTTCTGCTGTAAATGTTTTCTTTATGAAGGTATCTCCTAACTGTAATTGTTGACACTGGAGAATCCAGACGCTGATTGAGCTCTGCGGTCACTTTGGCTGCAGTTGTTTTCTTTTTAGACATTACAATCCGCTTCACTACCCGTCGATCTCTTTCTCCTTCCGTCCACTATTTTGCTTTGCTGAGCTTGTCTTTCCGCGCTGTGTGTATGCTGTCATGACTTTAGACACCGTACCTCTAGAAACGCCTAATAGCTGGGATGTTTCGGTCACTGTTGTTCCAACTAGTCGGGCTCCTACAATTTGGCGACTCTGAAAATCTGTGAGGTCTGACATTTTACGCTTCTGACAGAAAATCAAAACGTAGACAACTCTGCTAAAGCTCTCTCATACCACCTAATACATTTACTTTTTATTTTAAAAAAAACTGATATGTGAGATTATATTTTAATGCTTATGAAGCGAATTCTCAAATGTCGCTTTTATTCACAAGTGTTTCCATTATTTTGATAACCACCTGTATATATATATATATATATATTGGAGCATCAGAATAAATTTTAATAATGTCACACAATATCTTATTCAAATGATGTTTAAATTTGTTGATAAATAAATTTTTAATAACCCATAAATTACTACCTATAGTTTTCATTTTCACAAATTTTAATGTTAAATTAAGTGTATCTCCTTATCTTTTATTCCGCCAGGGGTTTGAAAGCAATGGAACCTGTAATTGATTATCTCTTATACAATCCATCTCAGAAGAATAATTATTCAAAGGTTTTGACTTTAGAGGCCCTCATTGATATAATTAAAGAGGAGCCGAAGGCTGCTTTTTATGTTTTGCGTTTTATACCTTATTTGCAGGTGATAATATTTTTCTAACTGAAAATAATAAAATTTATTTAATCATATAATTAATAAATTAAGTCTGCAATTATTTAATTTTATATGTTTTCAGATTGAGACTTATGAACATGTGTCAGAGGCTTCAATGTTTACTTTAAAAGCAAGACAAGCTTTTTATAGCTCAAATTTCTCTGAGAATGACAAATATTATATCTCTGAGCTTTTTTTGCTAGCTTCATTGTCCTTATCTGAAAGATGTTTGGTGCTTGGTCATGACCCTTCAAGATTATTGGAATTAGCTTGCAACTTAAGTTCCTCATTAATTCAAGTGAGTCTAATTTTAATTTTTAAAAAATCCTTTTTAGTATTAATTTTATTTATTTTTCTTATTTTTCTGTTTTATTAATAAATTATATTTTTAGAAAATTGTCCATTTTACATAATTTTTTTTTTTTTTTAATTTTGGATTTTTTATCACTTTTTTTGCATTTAATATTCAATATTTTTTTTTCTAATATAGTTTTTCCTTTAGATCTCACAGATGTCTTCCTTTGTTAATGTTTATCTGATTATGATATCATTTGCCCTCAAATCTGCAACTACTCTTCACATGGAGAAACTTGTTTCCATTGGTAAAATACTCTATTTATATTTAAAATAATGTTGTTGACGGAAAGAGATAAATTTGCTTGCTCTTGCAATGGTCAATTGTTTTTGTTTTTTTTTCTTTTTACTAATTAAGTTGTCAAGGCCGTTTTAAGTGGTTAAAATATAACTTCAGTGCTGTTTGAACCATGTCAATTTAATAATGTCTAAGATATTGCATTAACCTTTGATGTGGTAGTTGTATCAAAGACTTTTATTAACAGTTAGTCTGCTATTACCCAAATATCTATAACTTGACTTTTCAATTGCTCAAATTATTTTAAGATCCTAATCAAATACTAGGCAAAGGAAGTTTTAACATTATTTTTCTATGACTCCAATTTGGAAAAAAAAAATTATTTTCAAAACAAAATTTCTCTCCTAAGCATAATATCTAATCGATAAGTTGATTTTTTTTTTTTTAAGAGGAAGCTTGAAAAGTTTTGGTTATGTTATGACATTTTACATTCTTTTCATGAACAAAAATTGAAAATTTTTGAAACGTTACTTCTAATTTAAAAATTAATAAAAAATCATTTTATATCTATTTGTAAAAAGAATTAAGTATTTAGTTTTCTTTAATACTTTGGAAAAAGTTTTGGATGCGAAATTGTCATAAAGTGAGAAACAAAAAGCAGCTTTTGAATGTTTAAAATGTAAACTTCCCTTTTTTAGAAGAGAATAAAAAAGAATTGAATGTAGTTATAAATTTTTATATTATTTTTGATGTTCCAGAAAATATTTTGAAAATTATGCATGCATCGACAAAAATATCCAGTATAATTTGCTTTTAATGATAATTGTACCTATAAAAAGTTACATTTTAAAAAGATTGTTTTTGCCTTTACTTGGAAAATTTGCTAGGTTTATGTCTTGTATAGCACAATTGTAACTGAAATTGATGTGAAACAAAAATATTGTAATATTAGAATTATTAATTTCCATTTATCCTGCATTTAAAATAATATGGTTTAAAATTAAACTTCAAATGTCTAAATTTACTATGTGGTTCATTTATGAATAAAAAATAGATAAAAATGTCCAATTTAATTCATTATAAGTAAAAAAGATTAAATAACATATTTCATGTTGGTTGTCCAATGGAAATTAATAAAATGTTTGTCTAAATACTATGTTTGATTCTGTAAGGGCATTTTTTATTAAGCTTAATATAAATTTTGAAAAACATGAAATTCAATTTAAAAACACACCAGCTATTGGAAGTTGCTTTCTTACAACTTTTTTTGCTTTAACATATACTGCTTTTTATATTTTGATTTTTATTGTTTTTTTTTTCCTTTTATTTTCTTTGTTTTAATTCTGTATAAGCTTCATATAAAGAAAATAATACCTTTGATTTTTTTCATTTTTATGAATATAGATGATTAAATAAAAGTATTAAGTTTATTTTATTATCTGAAATTTTGTCTAAAATTTTATTTTCTTTAAATAAAAGGTATTAAGTTATAAAACTACTAATTATCTGTTTAAAAAAATTTTTCAATTTATTTTTTTACTTTTTATTTTTAATATACTTTTCTTTCTTTTTTTTTAATTTTATTAAATATTAATGAAACAAATTATGCAGTTTTCATTAAAGATTTTGTTCTAAGTTTACTAAAACTTAAATACTCAAATAGTTATTGGCCTCTGAGTTTGCTTGATTAAATTTTAAAGCTTAATTACTAAAAACAAAGCAATTTATACTTAGTTTTTTTTTATTTGTAATTAAAGAAATTTTTTATTATTCCTTATTTTATTTATTAATAGAAATTTAATTTAATTTAAACCAAGTCCATTAGTTTTAACAATGGGGAGCAGCATAACAAGTACATTTTTAAAATTGTGTTTTAAATTTTGTATGTGTAAATTCTGAACTATTTCTGCCTTCTGTATACTATGCACACAATAATTTTGAATTTAATTCTTCATTTTAGCTATAACTCTGCTAGATTTACAACCCATATCTCCAACAGTGGCTTCATTCTTAGCTTTTCAAATTATTCAACTTTTACCTGAACCGTCCATTGTATCATTCAATGAAGGAGCTAAATCAAATTTATCTCAGCTCCTTGATAAATTGGAAACCTATTTTTTAAATCATCAAACCGCGGAAAGTTTGCAAGAAAAGGAAGATTTACTGGATGGTGACAATAAAGAAAAAAGAAACAATATCTTTCTAAACACTTTTACTTTTTGTGCCACAACTTCATTTCAATGTGTTGATTTTGCAAATAAGTTGGACAAGTGTGATTGGAATTCAAAAATGAATTGGATGAAAGCTGTCAATACGTATGTAAAAGACTGTAGTTCTTCGGAAAATTTGGAGGTTGTGTTTGGCATTGTGTCTGCTTTATTTCTCAGCTGTCCTGATCGTGTAGAATATCTGAGTAGCTGCTTGGATACTTTTGAATTTATTCTTTCAAAAAATAATTACTTGGTATGTATCACTGTAATAAAATTTCTATTTTTTAAATGTGTGAATTTAGGGATAAAATTTTTCCTCCTAGGTTACTCATACCCACGAAACACCGCCATGCCAGTCAATAGGATTTGTAACAATAAATGTCATGATTATAAAGTTACTAATTGATATTTTCAATAATTTTTATCTGTGAAATGTTTTGATATTTTATTTTGTACATTTTTTTTTCTATTATCTTTTATGTTTTTAGCCATTTTGTAATATCCTAAATGTCTTTAACTGAAATTGAAACTGATTCAGATAATCAAAATCTTTGGAATGAAGATTCATTGTTCTAATTATATGATTTAATTTTCTCTGATAATTAGTATAACATGACGTTCCCTTTTTATAAAAGTGGATCCTGGAATAGTGAAACTACACTTGAAAAAACAAACAAGTACTAAAATACCAAACTTAATTTACCTATTAGCCAAAATTTTATAAGTTGTTAATCACAGAAAATGGTCAGTTCTTGGTAAGTCAAACAGTGCCAATAGTATTTCCGTTTACGAAAACCCCATTGCAAAACAGTCTTTTTTTTACCACTGAGACAATTGAGGGACCAAATGCTTATGACGCTAGGTTCAATACTTATGACCAAGCTTAATAAATTCTGCTTACTACTATGCCTAAAGGAGCATAGCTGACCCCTAATATTTTAGTAAAATTTGACCTTTTTTTTTTTTCTTTTGAGAAAGACCGGAAAAATTTGAGTATTTTGTAAGGAAGGGAGAGATTTTTCTGCGCATAACATGAATTTAAAGCATTCTTGAAAACCTCTGTGCTCATCAATATAAAGATTTTGAACAAAACGACATTCAATGTTTGTCTTCAGAACTAAGTAGAATATTGGATTTTATTTCTCTGTGTATTCAAATTGTATACCATCTTCAGACCATTGTTTTCAGGCTATATTTAATTAAAAATAATAATTGTCTTAACATAATATTTCGTATAAACAGGAAGCTATTAAGCTACTTTCCCATAACATGCTGGCTCCTAAAATGCTGCCTTCGAATCATCCTCAGAGATGTTTCCCAGACCGTCGCCAATAACCCGTAGTGCAGCTCTTCTGCAACGTAAATAAGCTAATACCACTAAGAATTCTATCGGACTTATGGCATTTAGTAATATAGGAATTTCTTTAAATGGCAAAAAAGGTTTTAATTTTTACATTATTACCTGATGTTCCTTGAATATTATTTAGATTACTTACTGAATGTGGGAAATGATTTAAACCTTGTAGAGCTGAGTCATCATATAAATAAGTTCGAAAGAATATGTTAGAAGCAATTTTTGAAGAAAATAATGACTTTGCGTAAGAGATGCAGTTAGATAAAGAAGTTCTATTGTATTAAGTATTATAGTAAGTTATTATCTTTAGAGAATTTGCAATGAAAAGCCATTGGAATGGTTCCTTTTATAAACATCGATTAAAAATTTTTCCTTAAATTAAAATAAGATGCAGTGGTAGAAACAATAATAAGCTCATAAAATATTATTCAATTTGTATTAGCAGATACTTTTAATAAAATAAATATATTTGCAATCCTACTTATTTGATATCATTAGGATTGTGACAGTGCCATCAAATAAAAATTACAATTTTATTTAAAGTAACAGCATACTGTGTAAACTGTAAAAAGATTTTAGCACTATTAATTTAAATTAGCTGCTATAAAAACAAAATCAAACAGATGCAGCTGATACATTATGATTAAAATTTTATTTTTTAGTTTTACTTAGATTAGCATTGTACCCTTTTCATTTAAATCATTAAAATAATCTATGATTCATATTGTTTTATTTTTTCCTTTGCCAACATTCCATTTAATGCCAGTTTTTTATCTCACCATTCACTGTCACTGTTTATTATTGAAGTCACTAATTTTATGTTTTAATTTTTATATAAATTAATATTTGTTCTTTTTTCTTTCAGTCAACGAGAATATTTTCTCTTCTTTTATACAAGCAAAATCTGCTGGGGTTGCCTGAATCAAAGTTCCTTATTCTTACCTTTTTACCAAAATCTGCTACTCATAAAGTGAGTTACTTAATCATATGAGAATTTTTAATTAAGATTGTCATCTTATTTTTTCACATTAATCAAAAAAAGATTATTTTTATTAAAAGATCATCATAAGTTTTTAAAAGTACTTTTTAAAAATTTCTTTGTTGAAAGTTTAAAATATATTTTTTGAATGAAATCCTTTTAATAAAAACATTTAATGAGCTTAATATACTGTCAGCCTTGCTTAAAGGAATACCACTAGCTCCAACCAACTATATTCAAATAATTCATTCATTATTTGAGTCCAGTTATGAATCTTAATAGTATGTTTTTACAAATTGTAATTTACTTTGAAGTGTTATGTAGAACATAGTATGATATTTTGACGGGATAAACTTGTTTTAATGATCAATAAACAATTATAATTATAGCTGTAGGTGTTAATATCATAAAATATAAATGATGAAAAGCGTACTATAAAGTTATTTATTTCCTTCCAAATAAATCAGTAGTTGAAGACTTCTGACACACGTTTAACTTAATTCTCAACTTTTTACCTTTCCATATTCTAAATGGTGTGTGAGTGTGTCAAAAAGGGGTAAAAGAAACAACCTCATTAACAGGATTTGATTCGTTTTTAAACTACCCTCTGATACCTGTTTGGAGCAGAAAATGGGTAGGAAGTCCCTATTAAAGTGATTAAAAATATATTCTCATCTTCTTAATTAAAAAACGAAAATTCCATTCTAACAGGACATCATTTCGTTTGAAAAAATAATAGTAATTTTTCTCCTCTTTAAGCAACTAAGCAAGGACTGTCAACCATAATTTATGGTTTAAACATGGAACTTTAACATTGGTTTCATACAAAATAGTAAGGTATTAATAAATTTGATTCCGATGTGCAATTAAGTTGAGATGATTATAATAAACTTGCATACTAACAGTGCATAACAACTGTTCCAACTTATTCTTGTAGGAACTCAAATTGTTCTGTGTAAATTAAATTTTAAAGAAATTTATGCCAAGCAATGTTGAATACTAGTTTATAAAAAGAGAAACTAAGTAGTGCTATTGTTATGAATCAAATTTTAGCAGAACTCAAAGGAAGGAACTCAAATTGTTCTGTGTAAATTAAATTTTAAAAAATTAAAGAAATTTATGCCAAACAATGTTCAACACTAGTTTATAAAAAGAGAAACTAAGTAGTGCTATTGTTATGAATCAAATTTTAAGCAAATGGCAGATTAAGATTGGATAACTTAGGACTGTTCTACAGATTTCTCTTAAATGTTGTATTGGATATACTGGATGTGTGAAAGGAGCATACATCCTGCTGAAAGCGAAATGGGCAGGATAGAGCTGGAGGAGCAACATTGTATGAACTATCCTTATACATCTCATAGTTCAAGTTTCAAACCGCACGATCTAAAGAACCTGGACCAAACTTTGAAAACTGACACCATAATTCTTTAGATTTGTACTTAATTATTCTTGGCCAAATGGTGTCACTGGCCTGTATATTTCGCTACTTTAGAATTTAATAAAATACTAAAAACCAAAATTCTATGTAACCAAATTAGTCATAATTATTTATCAATATAATGTAAATACTGGTGATTAAATGTAATAACCGATAAATTTACTAAGTCATCAGATTAAACGCAATTATTGTATCACTAATAAATATCACAATCAAATTTATAGCTTTAATGAATAACCTGACCTTAATAAATCAGGGAATTACTGAAAGTAAAACTTTTAATCACAATTGTCAGTTTTTCAAAAATTCTAGATTCCATAACTAAATTTACTTTGAGAGTCTTGCCTTTGTGATTCGAGAAATAATTTTAAAATTTAATTAATACAGGATACTTTAATAAAGCATAATGTTCTATTGAAGAATATTCAATTGAAAAATAATATTAAAATGAAGAGAAATATTCAATTGAAGCATAGTATTCCATTGAAGCATAATATTCAATTAAAGAATAATATTAAATTGATAAGCATGATATTCAATTCATATAATTTTGAATTAAAATAAATTAATTGTGTTGTGTCTTTTACAGTATGCTATTCCTCCTGTTATCAGCATCCTCAGTAGCATGTCGAATGAGCCCGAGTTGAAAGCCATTTCTATTCATTTAATGCTAGAACTTTGGAAAAAACATGATCGTGTCTTTTCTTATCTTCACAAGAGATTATTAGAGAGCAATAAATCTATTTCTAAAGATTTAAACATCAGTGAAGTTGTAATATCTCAAGCAGCAGCAATCAGAGAAATTTGCTTAATAGCGTAAGATATTGTATAATTCTTATAGCTGCCCCTAAGTGTTTGAGCTAATCATTCAGGCTACTTTTAAAATACATTTCTTTATATTTTAACATAAATAATCTAATATTTGACATTACAAATAAAAATCTAAGTTTTTTGATTGAAAATTGTATAATATATATATAAAATATTTTTTATGTAATATTTTATGTAATATAACTAGTATTTCATAAACACACATTTTAGAAGGTTCTATCAAATATGTTAAACGTTTATAATTCTACTGTAAATTAATTGTTGGTATCTATTTTCACATAAAATTTTAGAATTACATTCTTTGCTTCTAGCAATTAATTGCGATTGTATAAATTAAATTCATAAGTCCTAGATACATATATATATATATATATGTGTGTGTAATGTATAGCATCCAAGGTAAGCCACTATCAAAGACAGAACAGTTGTGCTTCACAATACTTTACACCATAATTTCCCTTCTTTTTTTTTCTTTTTTTTTTTTTTTTTTTTTTTTTTTTTTTTTNTTTTTTTTTTTTTTTTTTTTTTTTTTTTTTTTTTTTTTTTTTTTTTTTTGAATAACTGCTGGCTTTATAGGCCAAAAAATTCTGATTGCCCTTTACAAAAAACAATAAATAAACAATATTTTTTGGTCTATTTTAAATTATTATTAATTTTGTTGTGAACCACTTCTATAACCATTCATTAAAGTTTTGGATGTACATAATCACCAAAGTACTTTTCTTAATACTAATTTTGATGAAAGCAACTCAATTTGTAAAATTTTTAAGTGTACATAGAAATATAAATTCAACATATCACTTTACAGCTTAATTTAATTAAAATGTTATATAGAATTACTTATATATTATGAAAAATGTTAATTAAGTGGTATTGTTTATGGTTGTTAACAGATTGACCTGCAAAATATCATCTGTATTTTTTAGCGCAGCTAATACTGAGTAATACATAGAATGAAATCAAAATTGAGAATTATATTTCATAAATTCACAATTTGCAATTCAACTTTAATTATTGTTTGATAATATTCCTTTGAATTATTAAACAAAGAAGCAAACACATTAAACTTTTATCAACTTTTTGAAAAGAAATTATTTGAAGAAACATACCAAAACATTTTTGTTATCATTTATTTATTTTTAATTTGAATCTCGAATCTTGAGACTCATCAGATTAGGAATATAAAAATAGAAATGTTTAAAGTTTTTTTCATTGATTTTTTTTTTTTTAAATATTTGCAGGAAATTATCAGAACATTTTCATTTATTTTTAATGAGATAGATCTCAAAATATAGTTACGAAGCTTCCAGGGGTCAGGGAGAATCTGGAATTTTCAGGGAATTTCATTTTGACTCTTAAAAAGCAGGAAATAGTTAGGGAAAACTGTATTTTTTTACAGAAACCTGTAAAATTCCTTTATCCTACTTGAAGAAAAACCAGTCTCAGAATCGTCAGTAGCATCAATCAGTAATTAAATGTAGAGTTAAATAATTCTCACATCTATTACAGATATTTGTTTAAAAAATTATCACATTTTAGTGACAATTTTATGCTGTCATCCTATTTCAATGTTTTTTTTCCACAAAATCTAATGTTTGACATTACAAATAAAAATCAAAGTTTTCTGATTAAAAATTATATAGTATATATAAAATATGGTCTCAATTTTCATTGAATTTTTCTTGATATACCTGGAAAAGTCAGGGAATTTTTTTCTTCTGAAATTAAGTGTAAACCCTGAATTATTTTAAACATCTGTTACTTTGACTACAAGACAAATAAGGTTAAATTTTTCTGGAAAGTCTGAATCCCCAATAAAAAAACGAATTTATATTTACGTTTTCAAAGTTGTCTCCCATCCCACCTCCAGGGGGGATGGGTGTCATTGAATATTGAATACGTCTATTTTTCTTTTTTGATTCAGTGTATATATTTCTTGAGATCATTTCTAATTTTTTATATACCTACCCTGCATTTATATAAACTACATTAAATGAAATTGACGAGCCTGTTTTTATGATTTGTAAACAAGTTTTGGAAAATGGATAACAGAGAAATAACCCCATATTTCTTTTTCTATCATAAATGAGACATAATAATAAACACATAATATGTTTTTATTTTTTGATAAACTGTCCATTTCTAACTGCTAAATTTCAAATCTGTTGTCCCTATAGTAATTGGGTAAAACCAGCTGTAATGTAATAACATGTTTTACTAAAACATGCTTCAAAATGATTTTTAGACTGTTGTACTTCAATTTTTAGTTTCATTGTTAAATTGTTTCTGTGTATCAATTTCAAGTTATGATACATTTCTATTAAAACTCATTAAAGTACTGTGTTTTTATCAAATTGGGTATATATATTTTTCAAACTTATTTTTTGTATAAATTTAGTTCTTATTATTTGTTTAACAGCCCAGAAAAACATGGAAGTGATTTTTTAGGGATTCTTTCTAAAATATTTAATGAATCTAATGATGATACAAGTTCACCTGCTGCCTGTTTAGCTCTAGATGGGGTCATTAACCTTTGCAAAACAGAAGTTAGTATCATTTTTGCATTCATTTAATAAAGATTGACATCTCTATTGTAAAAATAAGGTTTTCTCATTGATTTTAATAATATTTTATTTCGCTCTAATAGATTATAGATTTGAGATCCACTTGGAAATTATTAGGTCCCAGATTGAGTAAGGATAAAAGGTACATATTTTTAAAAACATTTTGTATTATCAACAATATTTTAAATTGTAGAATACAGAAACCTTTAAATTAAAATATTTACTTATATATAATTATTATACATAGATGGCTTGATATAAATGTTATATTTGTGTACATGAATATTCATAATTTTTTGTACATTTTGTTCACTTAATTTTTGTTTATTTGTTTCTTAATTTCTTTACTAATGTTGGTACAAAATTATACCTAAACTTATGCTGTTAATATCTACTAAATTAAGACTGTTTTAAATATACTTTTTGCAAGTAAAAATTATTTTTTTTATTTTTTGTAGAGCTGTTATAGCCTGGTCGGTAGGGCGCTGGGTCCGCGAGTTCATGGGTTCGAATCCCGCCAGCCAAAGACTCCCCATGTAGTAAAGTGACTGATGCATGTTAAATCTGTCGAGTCACGAAAGTCCTCCATGTTCCCATAACAAATCAATACCTCTGTGGGTACTGGATTGGAGATCGTTCGGTCTCTGATTCAGGTCAAAATTACGATCTGTGAATGGATATATGAATGGGTCCGCCCTATAAACGGGTGTGGCAGAAGTCGAATTCTTGGCCACTGGAAAACGAGAACAATCACACCCCCTCTGCCTAAACAGGCATATGTCAACAACAACAAAATATTTTTTGTAATTTATTAATAATGAAATATTATTAATGTGTTTTATTTTCCAAATGATGACCCCTGAGCAAAATTGTTCATAAATTTCTAGCTATTCACAACTTTTTTGTTGAGTAACTTGAAGGAAACCAATTTTTTGATGCAAGTTAACCTGCTGTTTAAAGTTTGGAAAAGGCTGAGGCTAGTACTCAGAATAAAAAAATGAACAAGTAAATGATTTAAATCAATTTTTAGTTATTTCTAAAAATAATTTTAATTAAATAATAACTGTCATCTTTTATAGTGTTTTATCCTAATTCCATATTTTGATTGCACTATTGTTTTAATTAAGTTTTATTTACATATATTCAATTGCCCCATAAATTTTTTCGATACATTAAACTTAAACTGCACACAAACCTGATGTATAAATTATTTCTTTTGAAAGAAAACTTATTATTTAGCCCTGTAAAAAAATATTTGTGAACTTTGAATTTGCATTTTTTGTCAGAAGTTTCATCTCTAATGCTAATAAAAATCTAATGGTAAATTAAGTTAATTGCATGATTATTTTTAATTACAGAATTCCAGTCATTTGTAAAATGTTTGAACTACTCTCTCTTATTCCTGAGTTACAAGTGAGTTCTCCTGAGTTTGACACATTTATGAAAGACATTGTATCTAAAATCTGGAAACAAATTGCGTCTGGAGTATTACCACCTGATGCTGAGAGTGTAGCTTACAAAACATTGGCTAAATTTTCTATCGACTGTCATGAGCTTAAACAACTTCCAACTGCTGTAAGTTGGTGATATTTTAATGATAACCAAACTTATATGTATTATTAAAATTTTTGTAGATTTACACTAGATTAGATTAATGAAAAACTTGTTTATTTATTTAAATGTATGTTTATTATGTTTCCTTATTTATGTTTGTATCTATTTTGTAAGTTTTTATTATGTTATTTATGCATGTATATTTTTATTTATGTTTTAGATATATTTAACTAACTCTGGCATTCTTATTTTTAATTTTACACTAAAATTTTATGTTCAAAAACATTACATTTTTTTAAAGCATCTATGAAATAAAAAAGTAATTCATCATTTATTTTTAATGTACTTTCCTTTGTTACAAATAGTTAAGTATATAGTATGAATAAGAAAGTTATTGCTTGGTATCTATATTAAAATTATTTATATTTTTTAGTAAGTTGCATTAATAAATTTTTAAAAAAAATTTGCCAATATTTTCTTTCTGATGAAGTTATTATTAAAAAATTATTAATTATCATTATTAAAACATATTGTATCCGACTAGTTCTATTGTGTTTTTCTAACTATACTCTCTTGCTAGATAATGGTAAAATAAAATTTCAATGCTTGAAGCATGCATACTGCGCCAACAAACATAAAAATATAACCTGTGAAGCAAATAATTTTATGTATATGTTTAAATTTTTCATCCTATTTAATTTTTACTCTCTTACATATTTTTCTTCCTAATGTTATTCTCTAAAAATAAAACATACCTTTACCTGCTACTATAAAAAAATTATGTTACAAAATAAGACAAACCTACTTCTAATCAAATTCAGATAGTATTTTTTCTGCTTGTTTAGAAGTTAAGTAATATAATTTCACTATTAGAAAATGATGTGAAGTTATAAAAAAGTTTAAACTTTAATATTTTCCTTGTAGAAAAGTTACACAAAAAATAATGAATTGACAAACATGCATTTTATTTCCAATGATAAGTATTCCAAATGAGTAATGATTTGGAAAGACAAATTATCTGCTGTTATATACAGCTGTAAGACATTGCCATGACTGTCTCTTGAAAAACACCACCTCAACATAGTAGTCCTCTCTAAAGACTCAATAATCTGGTTTGGGTCATGAATGACCTTCTATTTCATTGCCATGCTTTGACTAAGCTTTCTCTTGTGAAGTGTTCATGTGAGGCCAGTGTAACATTTATTATTAAGTGTAAATAATGCACAAAAGGAGAAGATATTCTTATGACTAGACAATTAGCAATTACTTATACCTTAACAATCAAGAAGAAAACGATTAGTTATAATGTGTTGTGTGGCGACACAATCTTATGAAGATTCCCATGACAGCTTTTTAAATTCATTGACAATTTGCCACGGCTGATTATTTCTTTTTTTCTTTCCCTGCTATTATTTTGCTGTAGTTGTCCTTTAATTTCTCCATTAGAGAGTTTTAAAAAAAAATTCTGAATCAGCAAATATTAATTTGAGCCCTAATGTTCTGCCAACCAATATTTGAACTATGTTTGCCATAGCTGCACTGTGACTGACACACATAAAAAGATTGGCAGGCTTCTTGGGTCCTACTAATATAAGATTGAGTTAGCCTTTGAGTACCATGCATCTGAATATGGAATTTATTCGTTCCATTGTCAATATTATACCAAAGTTAACTACATGCAAATTATAGTCTTTAGCTTAAAAAAGCAAATATTACTACCAACTTTTTTATAGATTTTACACTATTTTATTAAAAACGTTTTTTTTTTACTTGAAAGAATATATGTATATTTTTTTAATGTGGTAATTTCTTGTAGGCCAAAGTCAACCTTGCATTGCCTGCTTCAATGAAAGCCACTCCTTTTGATATGAGTAAATCACCAGAAGATGTTCTCACCTACATTCCTGGCTATGCTTTTATTGATTTAATGAAAAGCATTGATTGTGAAACAGTGCTTGAAGGTACATAATATAAAATTTGTTTCATCTGTCCATTTAAAAGATAATTTATATTATAATTAGGACTGGGCTATAAATCGATATATCGCGACATATCGATTTAACGCCTATATCGGCAAACCGATACAGCAACTTTCATTCCAAGCGATGCATCAGAAATCTGATTTAAGCCGTCGAGTGAAGAAGACGATATAACGATATAGCGATACACGCAAGAACTTTCTCTAACGTTCCGATGCCNAAAACATATTGTATTTTTCATTGTGATTTTCTAACTATACTCACTTTGCTAGATAATGGTAAAATAAAATTTCAATGCTTGAAGCATGCATACTGTTCCGACAAGCATAAAAAATCTTACCTGCGAAGTAAATAATTTTATGTGTATATTTAAATTTTTCATCTCATTGATTTAATTTTTACTTCCTTATATATTTTTTAATCCCTATGTTATACTCTAAAAATAAAATATACCTTTACCTGCTACTATAAAAAATTATGTTACAAATTAAGACAAACCTACTTCAAATCAAATTCAGATGACATTTTATATGCTTGTTTAGCAGTTAAGTAATATAATAAGAAACATAATTTCACTATTAGAGAACAATGTGAAGTTATAAAAAAAATGTAAACTTTAATATTTTCCATGTGACAAAGTTACACAAAAATAGTGAATTGAAAATCATATATTTTATTTCCAATAATAAATATCCCTAATAATAAATATTCCTAATAAATAATGCCTTAGAAAGGCAAATTATCTGCTGTTATATACAGCTGTAAGACATAGCCATGAATTTCTCTTGAAACACACCATCTCAACATAGTAGTCCTCTCTGATGTAGACTCATAATCTGACTTGGTCATGGATGACCTTCTATTTCATTGCCATGCTTTGACTAAGCGTTCTCTTGTGAAGTGTTCATGTGGGGCCAGTGTCACATTTATTATTAGGTCTCAATAATACACAAAATTAGAAGATATTCTTATGACTAGACAATTAACATTCAATTAGCGCAATTACTTTATACTCTATCAATCAAGAAGAACTCAGTTATTTATAATGTGTTGTATGGTGACAAAATGTTATGGAGCTTCCCATGACAGCCTTTTGAATTCATTGACAATTTGCTACGGATTATTTCTCTTTTTTTTTTTCCTGCTATTCTTTTACTGTAGTCATCCTTTAATTTCTTCATTAGAAATTTTTAAAAAATGTCTAAATCTGCAACATTAATTTGAGTTCTAATGTTCTGCCAACCAATATGTGAAATATATTTGCCATAGATGCACTGCGACAGACACACATAAGAGGATTGGTAGGCATCTTGGGTCCTAAGAATATAAGATTGGGTTAGCCTTTGAGCGCCATGCATCTGAATATGGAACTTATTCGTTCCAGTATCAACATTTTACCAAAGTTAACTAGATGCAAATTATAGTCTTTAGTTTAAAAATAAATATTACTACCAACTTTTTTATAGGTTTTACATCATTATATTAAAAATTTTATCTTTTTTTATTTAAAAGAATATTTTTAAAGTTTTTTTTTAATGTTGTAATTCTTGTAGGCCAAAGTTAACCTTGCATTACCTGCTTCAATGAAAGCCACTCCTTTTGATATGAGTAAATCACCAGAAGATGTTCTCACTTACATACCTGGCTATGCTTTTATTGATTTAATGAAAAGCATTGACTGTGAAATAGTGCTTGAAGGTACATAATATAAAATTTGTTTCATTTGTCCATTTAAAAGATAATTTATATTATAATTGATATTGTTAGAAATCTTATTCTATAAAACCGCTATGCTTCAATCCCTCTAAATTTAGTCAATTCTTTGCTTAACCCATTTTCGGCCAAAAGTGCTCAAATACACCATTTCAATAAATGTTTTTTTATTAACACTGTGAAATATATTTTTCACTAACTTTATTTTTCTGCTATTGTCAAGGGTTCTGAAGACATTCTTAAATTATTAGTAATTCAATTGAAGTAAACACTTTCTGTTGATAAATTTCGAAACTCATAAAGTTTTTTAACTTAAAATGGTTATTGACAAAGGAAATTTTTTGAAAATGTATAATTAGTCCTTTTGAGTTTTATCATATGTTTTTATGATGGCTTAAAGTTGTAAGTCAGTAAATAAGAAAAATAAATTTTATAAAGAAACTAGCTTTCAACTAAATGGTTAGTTCACTGATTGCCTATCCACACCATTTTATTTCTGAAATAAAATATAATTTTTCATACTCGATTTTTTTTTAATGAATGTAATGTGAGCATATTTTGATTAAAACAATACCACATTTTATAAAACATCTATGCTTGGCCTAAAAGGGGTTAACCAAATATTTTCTTGTATAAATTTGCTTTATTCTCTTTCAAACTGCTAAAGCGGAATCTGTTGTAATTTATTATCAAGAAATATCTTAGAAGAATCTTGGCTAGAGTACTTGTCTCATTTAAACTCATTAAAAACAACTATATTGTTATTTGTCAAGAAGAAATATCTTAAAAGAATTTTGACTCGATTACTTATGGTGCCATTTAAACTTGTTTAAAAGAGTATATTCTGAATTATTAATTAGAACTATTTTAAAAGAATTTTGACTCTATTATTGTTAGTCTTATATAAACTTGCTGAAAAAGAGTATATTGTAATTTATTGATTAAAAATATCTGAGAACATTTTTATTTTTAATTTTTTTTTTTCATTTCTAGTTTTTATATGCAACTTAGTCATCATGAAAATGTTTGTATCCTTAAACTTAGATATTTTTTATTATTATTTTTAGGCTATTCTGATTTCTTGAGTTCTGTCATTCAGCAAGAAGTTTCAGCCCTACCAAGAAGTGTTTATAGTCAAAGAAAGCATCTTCAAAAAAATCAGAACACTAATGAAATTTTGATGAAAGTACCAAAATTTTTATGCACTCTTTTTGAAGCTAGAAAATCACCTGCTTTGCAGAAAAATATTGCTCGTAATCTCAATTTTTTATTCTTATATTAGTTAGAGATTGAGTAATTTTATTGTTTGATTACTTAAGATTTGTATGATTGATCTGTATGAGCTAATGAAATCTGAGGACAATATTTTTTTTTGCTCTTAAAAAATTATACTTACTTTGTTTTCATTCCATATTTTAAGAAAATAATTTTCTAGCTAATTGTTATTGTTTCTATTCTAGTGGGAGTTCTTCTCTGTTATGTACCGCCCATTGAATTTAGCAAAGATGGAGAACCCATGAAACGATCTATCGCTGGCCAATCTCGACTTTATGAACAAGTTCTTTCAATTCTTTTAAATGAAGTTAATATTGATGCAACAGAATGGCAAAGATCAATTCTCTTGCCCGGAGCATGGGGGTCATTTATGGAACGAGCATTTTTTGCTTCTGAAGAAGCTCGCAAAACAGAATTAGAATTACAGCGGAATCTGGGACACATAACTGTGACTACTGAAGAATTCAATTTTCAGTGCAAAACAGCATGGTTATGGTATGATGCTTTTTATTTTAAAGGACTTTTCTGTGAAAGATTTTAATATTGTGCATTTAATAGTATGTTTTTAAATGTAAAAATTATCTCCCACATTTCGCTTCATTTATGCTAATATATTAAATTGTAAAAATTGTTCTAAATATTTGTGTAATTTAATTTTTCATTTATTTTAGAAACTATATTTTATACAATTACTGTATTCCAAAAATTAAATTTTTGTTTACATTTTTAGGGTTCGTGACCGCATTTTGAACCTCATAAAAACTTGTGTGAAGTAAGCAAATTATTTAAATTTTCTCTCAAATGTATATTTTTAAAACATTTTTACTCTTTATGATGGCATTGGAGTTATGTTTATTTTAGGAACTTAAAATTATTTTAGGAACTTGTTAGGATTTGTCCAATTTTAAAAGGTGTTATTTTTTCACTCTTAAATAAGTTTATTCATATAATTTAATAAAACGAAATTCCAAATAAAAATATACTAAATGACAGAAATTTTTCAAGAAAATATTTATTTATTTATTTAAAATTTGTTCTGTGTGCTTTTAATCATAACAGACTCATTCTAGAATGCACTAATTTTTATATTTGCTTTAGAAAAGTGTTCAGGTAAATTTGTATTTATCTTAACATACCTTGACAATTGCCTTGGAGATAGTTTAATTTTTAAATTGACTTGACTGCTATGACTATTTTTTTAATTGCCTAACTTCCTAATTCAACATTTACTTGTTAAAGTTTTTATTTTTAAGTTTACCGTGATTAGTTTATTTCTTCATTTTATTTCATATTTTTTTATTATGATTGTTCATTATTGCTTATTTTTGTTACTTACTTTGTTAATGCTGTGACTTGCTTGTTTTTGAATTATGTTTCATCTCATTTTAGTTGATTGTTTAATGATTTCAGGAATTTCAATTTAAAAGGCCTTAAAATTATAATCGTACATTTGATTTTCTATGCGTTCCCTACTTTGTTTGTTACTTATCATCAAACTCAATTTATTCATATATTTTGATATATTTTGCATGAGCAATATAGACTTCATCATATATGTAATTCACTGTTCAGAATTTTGTTACTGAAACGTGGTTTAGTTTCTGCTTATATATAAGTTATATATTATTGAAAACTTAACTCTTATAATAAATTTGCAGTGATTACTAATCATTTATCAATGCAATGCAAAATGTACCATTTTTAAGTTTTGATTTCTGAATGAATTATTGCCTTGTCTTGCTTTGCAACTCTATATGCCTCTGTAATAAATGAGGCTTCAAGTTTCTTGCGTAAGCCTCTTTGGTCATAGGGTGCTTTACCAGCCAGTCCCTATTAGGTTCACCCAAAAGTGTCTCTTTCTAACAAAATCATCCAACTAAAGATCATTTTTAGGCATCTTTTCTTTCTGTGGCCATCTGGTGCCCAAGTGATTACATTTCTTGTTACGTCACGTAATTTAGTTAAAAGAACCTGAACCAATCCAATTAGATAAATTATGTCCAAATATTTATTCTAAAATATATCTTATTATAAAAGTGTTTGATTTGTCATTTATTGAACTTTTTTCTAACTTATTTAGAAATGCTCCTACTTCCCATGCAAATGCAATCTATGCCATTGCTGGTCTAGTTCGTGCTCTCATCAAGTACCATTCAAGCCTTGATGATGCTTCTAAAACATTATGTGATGAATTAGAAAATTTCAGCAAGCATGACATTTTTATTGCTGAATGTGCAGAAACAATTCTTTGCGCCATGAAAAATGATTATCAACCTAAAGGAAAAGTTCATAGTTGGTTGTTAACTGTAAGTGAAAGTAATATTTTATTAATAAAAATTACCTTTACTTAAAATGACTTATTATTTTCTATTAAATATATTTATATGTTTTCTATGAACTAGTGGAAGTTTGGTTAGATTAATATGTCATGTAAAATTACCTCCTCCATAAAACATTTATAATTTTTCTCTTTAATCTATTTATATGTTTTTTAGACTCACTTTAGATGGAATTTACATTAATATAAGTCGAATTTTTGTTCATTCAATTTATATTTTATAAATGAAAATTACCTTCACTTTGAATAAATTATAATTTTCTGTTTAGTATTTATATGTTTAAAATAAACAAAATTTACCTCCACTTTAAGACATTTAAAATTTTGTATTTAAATTATTTAAATGTTTTTAAAAATTAACTGTAAAGGAAAGTTTAATTAAGTTAATATTTTATAAATGAAAAATTACACTCATTTTGAATCACTTATAATTTTCTATATGTTTTTAATAAGCTATCGTGGTTGTAAAAGTGGGACTTAAATTAATGACTTATAAATAAAATTTACCTTCACTTTAAATCATTCATAAATTTCTATTTTTTATATTTATGAGTTTTGAATAAACAATCTAACTGTAACCAAAAGTTTGGTTATATTTATATTTAACAAATAAAAAATACTTCCACTTTAAAACATAAATTTTTTTTTATGTAATTTAATTAAATGTTTTTAAAAACTAGTTATAAGTGGATTAAATTACTATTAAATAAATAAAAAATTATTTTCATTTTAAATAATTTTTTATTTTATCTGCTCTGTTTTTAATAAGTGAACAATAAAAAACTTATTAACTTAAAATGGGAATTTTATTAATTTAATATCTTTTAAATAAAACTTACACTCATTTTAAATTGCTAATGATTTTCCATTTTATCTATTTATACATTTTTAAAAAACTAAATAGTTATAAGTAGAATATTTATTAAATTATTATTCTATAAATAATAAAAACACTCATAATATTCTATCTAAATTACTTACGTGTTTTTTAAAAAAAAATAATACTATTTAACTGAAAGTAGAAGTATGATAAACTCAATATCAATATTATATTAAATTACCCTCACTTTAAATAATTATAATTTTCAATTTAATCTATTTATATTTTATTAAAATAGCTGTAAATGAAAATTTTATTAATTCATATTTTCGAAATAAATATTACCATTATCTTAAATCACTTATAATTTTGCATTTATCCTTTTTTAATAAAATGTATTTTTCAAAATTGTGATTTTAAAATATTTTTATTAGCATTTATCTCGACCCAATTCCAGTTCAGGATACTTAATCAAGGGTTGTAGCTGTGCATCATTATGCCACCTTTGTCCTGTTCTAATTCATCATTACAACAATGATTTGTCTTCTCTTATACAAGATTTGATCGATAATCTAACACACAATTCTCCGGTTTTGAATTTTTATTCTGGTCTTGGATTAGGAATGCTTGTCAAAGCTTTATGTGATGTTGGATTTCCAGACAGTGGTGAAAAACAAGTAAGTTGTTTTAACTTCTGTAATATATTTTTGAATAAATATTTCTAACTTACAAAACTTAAACTTTCAGATAAAATAATTATATAAATCTTATTTAGATATAAAATAAGTAATAACAAAAAAATCTTATCAAAGAATATCTTCTTTTTCCTGCCTCTACAGTTAATTCCAAGTTTCTTAATTATTCCTTGACTCTACAGTCCATGAAGGGCCTTGTCCTCTTTTACCTCCACTTTTTCTTTTCCTTGGCCTTTACTTTTCAATTATTCATTTTCATCTATTTTAGATCCCCCTCTACCTCATCTAGCCATCCTCAGGGTTGCCACTCCACAGGGAGAACAGGGAAAACCTGGAAAATACAGGGAATTTAAAAAATCACCTAAAATAACAGAGAATTTTGAGTTTTTCTGTATGGAAAAGTACAGGGGATTTTGTTTCTCATTTTCATTTTTAAAACAACGTTAATTACTCAAAGTGCAATCTATGGAATATTTAAGAATGATATTTCAGCTATATTAGACTAGTACATTTACTGTAGCATTATTTGTTTTAAGTATGTTGAGCTATTCCTTTTTTCTCTAAATTTTTCAGCAATTATAACTAGTATAGTTAGCCCAATACAGCTCATACAAGAGTGGTTGTGTTTTTCCTCTTAATATGTTCTGTATAATATACACGAAAAACACAGGGAATTGTTTTTCCAGTTTTGAGTGGCAAGCCTGATCTTTCGCTAGGACATCCGACCTTTTTCTTTCCCTTTAGTCTCAAGTTTCGTATTTTTGAAAACTATTGTATCTTTCCTATCAGTAATAGTTTGGTTAAATGCATTCTCAAATCATGTCTGCATATCTTTAGTTTAAAAAAATCTAAGTTTTCTTTATATGTATTATGAATATTAAAAATTTATTTTCAATCAATGTTAAATTACAATCAATTTTTTAGAAAAGTTTAACTGACTAAAATAACAATTCTCTTAATTTTTCATTTTATTTGATAACTGAGAATATTAAAATCCTGTTTATTTTTTCAGTCCCAATTGTTGCTCATTACAACTAAAAGACTTTTCAATCTCTATTCCAATGAGGAAACTTCTTCGTAAGTTATTACTATCATTATTAGTGTTTAATGCCATTCGAAATCTTTAGTTCCTCTGTGTGTATTTATTAATGGCGGTATAATAATATAATATGGTCATTATCAACCCATATATTTTCTTTTATATGTTTGCTATGGAAAAGTACTTAGCAAACAATAAAGGTCATTATGTATATCCAATGATAAAACTCATTCAAAAACTATTATACTAATTATATATTTAAAGTATATATTTTTAAATAAATTTTATAAATGTTTCCATTTTAAGAATTAGTTTATGCCACAAATTTAATCTGCTATTTAGATTTATTTCAAACATAAATTGTGAATCATTGATTGGAAATTTTTCTTCACTAACTGAAATTCTTAATTAAATAAAAACATTTCCAAATTAACTGTGTGCAATTTCAACTTCATAAATAATTTTTTATGCTAAGTACTAGTTTATAATTTAGAAACTTTAGGAACTGTTGCACATATCTAAAGAGGTCTTAGTAACCTTTTCACAAAATTTTTGACATTTTAGAAGTTTTTTTGTTCATTATTGTATTGAGAGTCATAGAAGAATAAAGTACGTTAGTTTCTGTCTTGTTTTTCAAAAAGTTTAAAATCTTTTAAGTTAGGAAACTATATGGAACTGAAAATTACATTAAACATAATTCTAAAAGAAAGCTTCATGGAAATTTTAAAAAATACTTTTAACAATTAAATACGAAAAATATTAAGAAAAGGAAAAACATCATAGTACATTTCTAAACAACTGAAGAGAGGAGGAGAGGGAAAGGTCAAATGCATGGAACTGTTCTTCTCCCCAGATGGCGTATTCAAGCGTTGCGATCACCTGTATTCTAATCAGCTCTTAGATAGTTTGAGAATGGAATTTAGATTTCTGTATGAAACTCGAAAAATGTTATTGAAAAGTTTTTTCTTTCTAGCCCTTTATTAAATTTTTTTGTTTAAATCTGATAATACTTATGGCTAAACAACTGCAGTCATTTTTAGTTTCCTACAAGGCTTTTTACACTTACTCTCTAACATTTTTGAAAAAATGAGTTTCAATTTCATCTGCTCAAATTCAATTTGTAATTTATATTGCAGAGGCTTTTATAGTTCAAATTTACTATTTACTGAAATTTTAGCTCCTAATTTAAATATTATTTTAATGACTTATTCTATTTTTAAATATGTTTAGAGTAAGTATTCTTCTAAGTTTGACACTCTCCATTGCTGCTTTGAGCCAAGTGTCCAGTGAAGATTATAAAGATTGGATCTCAACCACTTGTAACATTTTTCATGAGAAGCTTATGGAAGAAGAAGTATCATCAATGAGTTATGAAGTAATATGATTTATTTTAATCATAAATATCATTAACTATAACATTTTTGTTTTTAAAAAAAAGTATCTGCTCATAAACAATGTATCAATTTACAATAACAGTTTTATAAATTTGTATTGATTTTAAGTTTTTGACAAATATTAGACTATTTAAATACATTTGAAGGTTTACATTTCTTTCAAAACTTATCACGATCTTGTATTCTCTCTATGTATCATTAGTAATTAACTAACAAATCGTTCTAATTTTTTTCTTAGCATCTCAATCTTAAAAGTTTTAAGCAATTACAGTGAATTTTGAACATTGTCATAATTGTTTATTTTTTAAATTAAAAAAATTCACTACGCTTCATCTAAATTTATTATATGTTACTCATCAAAAATATTTTAAAACTATATTTGAAATAAGACCAGTGAAATAAATAGGCAAAGCTAAGGTAAGAGGATTTTTTTATTATTTATTGAGACTGTGACAAAATTTTGTTAAATGTTTCCATCTATCTTGTACAAATTGTAAAATTAAAATAAATTATGATTTTTAGGTCTTCCTCTGTAAAAATGCATTCTGTGTCTTCTTGACAGTGATTCTCTGTTTCCATTTTTAAAAAAAAATCTTTACTCTAATTAAATATGTAACTTTCAAATATTTAATCCCTTGCAATTTTGTTACATTTACAAAAGTTCGTTACGCATGCAAAAAATTTTAGTATGTTCTGGATAACTAATTAGGTACATATTGTATTTTTCATAATAAGAAATTTTAAAACTTCTTTTAACATTTTTTCTGTTCTAGGGTTAATTCATAAAATAATTTTTTTTAACATTTGGTATTAAGGGTATTTTATTTTTATTAGTTTAAAATTTTGTTGTATCTGTTTAAAAAAATAAGTTTTTAGTTTTTTTAATATTACTAAAATGCAGCAATATTTAGCACTTCTTTCCTACACATCTTTCTATTTTGTGAATATTAAAACTTGTTTTGTAGAAATGAAAAAATTAATACAAGATAAATTAATTAAAAAACTATTTGATATTTGAAAATAGAAGTTGTCGAAAAAACATATTTCTTTGCTTAATTCTACCTTTTAATTTGTACTTCCAAATCCATTTGAAAATATGTTTTTTTTTTCGGGAACATAAAATATTTTGTAACTGTCTTAAATGGCATATTAAAAAGTGATAATTTTTGTATTATGCTTTGTATTTACTAATTAACTATAATTTGATTTTACTGTTTCATTCTTTTTCATCAAGGATAAATCATAAGATTGTAAACTTATTAGTTTTTATGAGCTTTTATTTCTAGATCAATTTTTAAAGGTCAAAACCACAACAAAAATTTAATTTTCTCAAAAAATACTGTAAATATAGTTTTTAAGTTTCTAAGTTACACACATTTTGTATCTGCAAAGTTGCAGCTAGAGAGATTTTTTTTTTGCATTATCAAAACTCTGTATTTCCAAATCTAGATATCATAGTTTACTCTTCTTTTTCAAAGTGTATGTAAAATTAATAAGATAAAAATTAATAGCATTTGCCTATACGGATTGTGTAATTTTCAAAATATTTTTTGATAAAAAATGAGAAAAACTTTTTGAAAATTCAAAGAACAGGTTTATTAATGGCTCTATTTATAGGTTTTATGAAAATAAATCAGTATTAACTGTCAATTACATAGGACTGATGAGCATATTGCTTTGAAGTCTACAATCTTTTTTTAAATTATAATGCTTTAGAAGAGAACTTTATATAACATGAACTTTTTTTATTCTTTTTAAGTCACTGAGCATCTGTGTATCAGCCATGATGATAGCTGCTGCAGATGGAAGTTGCATGAATGTAGAATCTATTGAATCTCTGGCCAAATGGTTTGAAGATAAACAGGCTGATTTACCACAGGTCTGATGGTCTTACTCTTTATCTAAAGAAAACCAGTCATTATTTTTATATACATGTCATGTTTATAATAAACGTGATAATTCAAGCATTATAGCACTATTTAAAGTTAAATTACATTTGTATAATATTTAAAATGCTGATTATAAGTACTAATAAATAAATTTGCACTATAATTTTTATGCAGTTTTATTTAAAGAAAAAAATGCAAATTTAGTTTCAGTTACTTATTATGTACTAAAATTATCCATTGTAAAACATCTAAATATTGCAAAGAAAAGCTGATTTCGAAAAGTATACGTATTGACAGCAAGAAAAAATTTCAGACGTAAAAGTTTACGTTGTTTAGAATTTTTTATTTCAACATCGACAATTTACCGAATTGGTTTTTTCTTGTGTTGACTGATCGTTAAACTGTGTTCCAAAACTTCATGAAAGTTTTGAAGTTTAAAAAAGCAAAGGTGAAAAAATTTAACCTTGCAAGAGCCATGTTTAAAAAAGTCAATTCATCTTATTTTTAGGTCTTAAAATTGTAACTACTATTGTGTATTATCTCTGATGTCAGAAAATAGTGTATAATAATGTGGTTTTTTATCTATAAATTTCATTGATAATTAATAACAGTGATTTTTTATTTTAAAAAATTTTTTTTTAATAATGGAAATCTACATAACATTTGTTGTAAAGAATGAAAGTCTCTTTAGTTGACAAATTGTATATTTCTGAAAATATATATTTGTTTAAATTCTGTTTCCAATTTTTTTATTTTTTTCCAATTTCTGTTAGAAGAAAAGTTTTTTTTAACTTGTTTTAGCAAATGTATAATATTGATAATATATAGTATTTTTTTAACATTTCTTAGTGTTCTGGTACATCTGTGGCTTTAGGAATTCTAATTGAAGCTTTGGAAAGATTTGGATGTTCCTTAGGGCAGAATTTGAAAGAGAAATTACAGAAGGACTGGTTTAATACCCTATCTTCTGAGGTAAAGTTACAATTTTTCATGTATGTAATCGAAACCTATCTTAAGCTTTATAATAATTTACAAAATAAAACTAGTTCATAATAAAGAGTAACATTCCTCACAATAAATCTGGTTTAAAATTAAATATTTTACTAATGACTGCTATAGGTAGGAGCAAATTACTATTGTTTGCTATGTTTTTGCCATAGTCACTTATATCTGGGCATTTATAAATATTATATATATTTATATAATATTTATAAGGCATTGTTATTTAGAAATTCCTTAATATTTAGTTTTTCTTGACTAGGTTGCCCATTACAAATAATATGAGGTAGTAAATTGTTGAAATTTGTTACATTTTTATAACAAATTTGTTAAGTCATAATTTTGCAGTGTTTTTCATGTATTTAATCATGATTTGATTGTAATTTCATCTCCTACTCAATAATAATTCTAGAAAACTTAAAATGAATGATAATAATACCTGTGCCAAAATAAAATTTCTTTTATTAATTTTTTTGAAGTAGATTTAAGCCCATTTACTTTGAATTATGCACATTTTTGTTGCATTTTGTTAAATAATTTGCTCCTTATTTTTGTATAATGTTGAAAATTATACTAATATGTTAAATATTTCATCTATTTGAATAGAAAAAGCAGACACTTCATCGAATAGCTGCATTAAATGGATTGTGCGCTCTATATTCTTGTGGTAGAGGACTTCTGTTGGTAATTTGCAGCTATTATTTATTAGTTTTAAAAAAATAACACTTCCAAATGTAAAATTTTTTTCCCTTAATTTTCATAAAATTCTTAGAAAATTATATTACTGTTTGAGAAATTTCTATTTAATTTATTTTCAGGCTAAAAGCAAAATAAGTAATGTCAATAATATGATGAATGATTTGATATCATTAATGTTTCAACTTCTAAATGCTACAAGAGATACAGGACTTCAAACTGTTTGCTCTTGGGAGGTTGGACGATTGTTTTCAGTTCATTCTTTCAATCAAGAGTCTGAAGAGTCTGGTTTGTACCTTAGAATAATCATGTAGTTTTGTTTGTTTTTTCTACTGTTGTTTGAAATATTAAGATGCTTTTTGCTGAAAAATGTTTGTGTTTAGAGAAATGTTATTCCTAATTAGTTAATTTGTAAAATATTGTTTAAAATTTTTTGACAATGAGCTACAAAAAAATATATGCTGCATAGTTTCATGAAAAACAGCTTTATTAGATAGTATTATTCTTTACACAGTATTATTATTATTCTATCTAAAACAGTTTTGTTATATAAATAGTATTATAGTATTAAATGTTTAATCAGACAATTCTAATATTTTATGCATTCGTATACATCATTTTGCATGTCTTCCAAAATTGAATACAATCGCTTAAAAAACATTATTTTCAGATTTCCAAACAAAAAACACAAATGTTTTTAATTGTACAAAGAAAAAAAAACTTTTACTGAAACATTTTTGTTAAATTCATTGCAATTTTAGGCTGCAATTTTCTTTATACCATGATGCCTGAACTGCAGCCTAAAATAGTTCACTCCTTTATGAGACCATCATCAGGAGATAGGAAATTAGTAATCATTCAGTTTCCTTCTTAAAAGTTTAATAAATATTACATTTTTCCTAAAAGTTGCTGTTGACGATAGTAAAATTGTAGTTGTATATTATTCTTTTTTATAAATAAATATCAGCAATAATTTTCAAATGAACCATGACATATTTGCATGTAAAACTTTTTTATTTATCTTTTTTGTTTTAAATGACTAAAATAATTTTTTAATCTTGCAAAATGCATACATTTCCAACTGAAAATTTTTTTCAAACTGTTAGATCTAATCAAGATTATTTCAAAAATAATGTATCACATCATTAGCTAGATCCTTTTCTCTCTTTGTCTTACATGGTAAAGCATGGTTATATATTTATTCCAAGTGTTTCAGTCTTTTTTTACAAAAATTAAGTTAGAGAGCATTAACAATATTTTTTTGGAAACTTTGTTTTAAAACTATGTTATTGTTTTACTAAAACAACCTCACTCATATATAAGTCTATGGCAGTATGCAATGTTCCAGAATTCACAGAAATATATATGTATAAACAGGGCCCTCGCTAAGTATTTCGAATTATTAGCCAAATATCAAAAGTATTCTCCAATTTTCAAAAGTCTTCCCCAAATGTAAATCTTAATAATTTTTTATGGTTAATTTTTTCCCACAGGAAACTATTTCACGGTAGTTTGTTTCAGGCTTATATTATTTTGACCTAATTCTAATTGGTTATGCAGCGCATCTGCCTAAAATTACCGTAATCGAATAAAAAAAAAATACTGATTTGCTTAGAAAAATTCATTTTGAGGATCGAGTTAAATATATTTTTTCTTTCCAGTGGAAAAAATCATCCTACTTTCACCAAAACACAATTTTATTCGCCAAATTTACTATTTTATCGCATTTGGCAAGGGGGCGAATGCTTAGCACATGCCTTGAATCTCTCTCTATATATATATAAATGTATATATATATATATATATATATTAAATAATGTCTGTTTCATTTTTAGTGTTTGGAAGGATGTGGAAGATACCAGACATTATATAACTATAACTTGGTTTATTTCCTTAATAAACAACTAAAATACTTAAAAGAGTTGTACAAAATAAAGTCTATCATCAGAGTAAGTGGGAAGACATCAGTAATGCGGGACTAGGTGGCTTAGGTACTGCACACATCTCCGGGTGAGAGCTGAAGTCGAAGTGGCACTCTGATCGTCGGTGAGCTGGTTTTTATCCTTCTTGAGTGCAGGCGCGCGCAGTCCGGGAAAAGCTGATTTGCATCTTGAGAGATCGGTTTCTTCCAACCGCGCTGCATTTTAATGAAGATGACGTCCCGTGTGACGTTCGATGTGATGAGTCTTTGATGACGCCACACATTTAAATTCATATTAAAAACATTTTTTATTTTCCTGGAATGTTTTATATTATTGATGCTGCACAAAAAAATTAAAAAGCAATTTTTGCTGTAAAAAGGAATCTGATGCTATCAACACGAAGACTAAAAATTAGATTTATTTATTGATCAGTCATAGTTCTTTCATTTTCAAAAACTAATTATAAAAAGATAAAACAAGGTTAAAAATTCTATGTTTTGAAAAAAATAGGTTTCTCTGTTGTTAAAAAGAATTTTCTGTTGTTAAAAAGAATATTCTAGATATTTTATTGGCATACCCTAACAGAAATAATCAAAAATATAACTATTAAAGGAGCTTTTTTCTTCATTGTTGTTTAATACTCAGCAATTATTAGGGAAAGATTTTAAAAAAATTTTATACCTTTTAATCAGTTAAATAACCACTGTTTTTCTTTTTCAGTTCCATCAAGCTACCACTATTTGAATGAAAAAAGTACTTTAAGATTTCTAATGAAAACAATTATTGACAATGCTTCTGATGGTAAATAAAAGTTTTCTGATATTTTTTTTATTATTATTTATATTATTATGGTGATTAAAAATAAAATTAGCTGTCAAAATATATCATGCCTTTTTTTTACATTTAAGGTTTTTTTAAATATCCATTTAGTTTGGCAGGGATATTAATATTATCTTTTTTCAAAAGATAAATGTGCTTTGTATTATCATGGAGAACATAAATAAAATTTCTAATCAAAAAAGTTATCTTTTTTTTTTTTAATTTTATCTTTTTTTTAAAAATCTCGATATTTTGTCAGTGATATCTTTTTTTAAAAGATTATGCGTGCTTTTAGATTAAAATTTTTATGTATAGTTGGATTAGATAATGTTAATCTCCTGTTGTGGTAACCCTAAGGGAAGATAGCCTTTTAGTAAACTGATCCCACAACCTTAATCTGCCCTAATATATCTGTATTTTTTTATCTTTGTTATTATTAGATCAACTTGCCTACATTCTGAAATATCATTCGAATTTGGTGTAGTAAAGTCACCTGCCATTGAAACCCATTATCAACTCAATCCCTATTTGTTAACTTGAGGGCTCAATTCCATCTTTTGAACATAACTAATTTACACATATGTGAATGAAGAGTTGAAATGAGGTGGCACGACCCTCACTCTTTCTGATTTTCCTTGTGTGATGCAGACTAAAATGTCAAATCATTCAGTTCTGGTAGTCACCTGGAATTTATGTGACCTCTCAAGGTTTAGAACATTTTATAGTTAAATAAGAACAGTTTAATGATTTTACAATCAAGTTTCTCTTATTTTATGAGTTGAGTGAAAGAGATGAGGCTAAATAGATTAAACAAATGATTAATTCTTAAATATGAGATTATCTCTACTGTTGTTTCAACAATCAATCTATGATCCTAATTATTTTATCGTAAATATATTCCATAAAATCTGGTTATTTTTTTATCAATGATTATTTATTTTGCAAATTTTAGAGGAGCACGTGAGCGAATGCCACCAGTTAACCTGCTTAAGATCGTTAAAAAAGGAATTTTCCAGACCTTTACCCCCTCTGAATTGGATGCTTGTGTTATCTCCATTATTGGTAAACAAAGAAGGTATTACAAGTAACAAGGTTTTTCAATATAATAAATGCATCTTTTCTGTCATAAACTTATCGTTATTTGATAATTGTATTTAGATCACGCAATTGTCGAAACTGTATTAAGTGTTTTGATCTACCAATCCAAAAGTTCAGCTCATGCAGCTAATCTACTTGCCTCATATTGTAGCCCTCCTCTTATACATTCGTTACATGTAAGTAATATTATGTTTATTTACCTAATTTAAAACAAGTTTATCATGTTCTGATGAAAAAAAGCCTCAATTATATTTTGAATGATGTGTTTATAAGCTTGTAAAAATATGTGTATAGATATGTGTTTGTTATATACATGCAGTTAAGATCCAAGTGCAAATATTGTTTCAATTTTAATTATAGTTCAATTTCAATTATAGTTCTTTCAGAAGGCAATGTATTTGTATTTTTAAATCTTGTATTTTTTAAGGTGAACTTATGAAAATTATAATTTGACATTAAAATTTAATGTAGTGTATTACCTTAAATCTTTTAACTAAACTTAGATTTCACAAGTTTTAGAGTTACAAATGGATATATACTGTATTTTTACCTATAAAAAAAAGTTTAGTTTGCATGTCAAATTTGCTGTGTTAAGAAGACGCCATAGAGCAGATGAAAACTTTCCTCACAAATTATCTTCTTCCTTCATTTCTAATTTAAAGTGTGGCAAAAAAAAGGGTTCAGACAAACCTGGAGTAAACCATGAAATATCAAACACTGAAAAAAATTTTAAAATATACAAATGAAAATAAATTATGAGAAGATAACTTTAGTATTACGCAATGGTGAACTTCACTTCTAATAATTTGTTTGCATTTTAATATTTTGAAGTCTTTTCTTTTTCAACAACTTAAACTTTATGACTTACTCTAGGTTTGCCTGAACTTACTCTTTCTTTCTTTTAAATTATTAATGAAAGAGAAAGAGAATTTGCGATGAAAGTTTTCTTCCACTGTATGGCGTACTCAAGTGAAATTGCAATGAATGTAAAAGTTATAAGTCTTATTTTATTGTTTTTATCTATATTTTCTTTTTTGTACGCAATAAGCAAAGAATCTAGCTTGAAAATAGCCTCAGGAAGAAGAAAACTTATTGCAGTAGCTAAATGAAATCAAATTAAATTCTAAATCATACTTTTAGGAGTAAATATTTTCACTAACAAAAGCTGAGAGAAGTATTAAAATTTTAAAAAAATTAAAATAATTTAAGAAAACGGTTAGTGTTACATTTATTAATAATATTTACGGCTTTCTAAAATATTAACAAATGGCGTTTTTTTATTGAAAACTCAGGAACTGAAATGGTTTGAATACATATTTTATTTTTAAAAAAATAGAGTTAAGGCTGTGAACAGGCAACTCTGTTTATTTTTTGTTTCAAAACCTCATTGCCATTTCTAATTCATCCCATACCTCATTAATAATCACCGTTTAACTTTCTATATTCTAATATCCATACCAGCTCCTTAAATTTCTCCCAAGGGTGATTTATGAGTTTTACATAATTTTTTAAATGTTAGATGGTTAATGATGATTATTAAAATGGCCGAGAATATGTAAAGTTTTTTTTCTGTTATAAATAGTAACAAAATTAAAGGACCTGATGTTTAAAACTACTTCTCGTAATGACGACCATTACTCTACATAATATATCTTAATTTAAAATATTGTATATACTGCATATACATAGTTTTAAGTAAGCATAGTTATAACACTAACGTTAAGTATAGTTTTAACATTATAGTTATAACATTCACCAAAAGAAAAAAAATGCCTCAGAAAATATTTTGAATTATTAATTAATTTAAAGTTAATTAAAATGAATAACCTATTTAAGTTATTGAAAACGTATACGAATCTTTAAGAGCAGTTCTTAGGATTAAGTTAGCCACATAAAAGAACTCATTATTCTTATAAATTCGCAAGATTAAAGTCCTTGCACATGTTGATCATTTCTATATTTTAGCACCTTTATTTTAATGTTGTTTTTTTTAGAGTGTTACTGAGTGTTACAAAGCATTTTTGCAAACAATTAAACAGCACTGCATTTACAATTTGTGAAAATATTTAAAATTAATATTCAATGAAATTAATATTTATTTCAATAGGGAAACTGCTGGAAAATTCTTCTAGAAAGCATTCCAGATTTAATTACAGCTTTACCAGATGCCAAACTACAAATATTTTTCCCAGCAATTATATTTTATGTTACAAAACATGACGAAAATTTTGAATCTGATGGAAAACTCTTGATGCAGGTAAAAATTTTGGCATATTTTTTCAAATGCTAAAACATTTATTCATAAAGTAAAATTTTTGATTAGTTTGAAATTATATTTTAATTAATTATTTTATTGATTCAAAGTTATTTTGAATTCCTGATTCAAAAATAAATTTTAATGATTTCATTTTGTTTTTAAAAGATTTTTTTGTTTCATCTTAGTTGTCTTGATTTTTTAGCTTTTTGTCTTGTTATTCTTTTTTTTTATGTGAAAACAGATACAGATCTTAAAATATTTGAGTCGAAGAATTGAAAGACCTGGATTTTTTATACATATTTTTTTTTATTATTTCGTAAACTGTTAAAACTTTTATGTTTTGTACAAAGTAACTGGAATTAAAAATTTCTATTTTGTGATGAAATTTGCCTTTATTATACTTAAGTAGAGTAAATTAACCTTTTTTTTTAGTTTGTGATTTGCTGTTTTTAAAAGTAGACTGGTATATAAATGTTGTGTCTGTCCTAATGTTTTTGTAAAATTTTGCCCCGATTTTTTCTCTTGCCTACTTCGAGATCTTTACTCATGTTGTCTTACTACATAAAACTAACTGAACATTTGTGACCTCTAAGGACCTACTTTTACCTATAGTTTTTCCTGCTGGAAAAAATTCACACCTTGTTATTCAATTAAAATTCTAAAAAGAAAAAGACTAAAAAGAAAATTTAATATAAACTATGCAAATACGAAATGCTTGGTCCATAACTATAACTGGAATGTCAGTTTATGATCAAGAGTTTTATGATTATTTGTATGAAAAAAAATAACTTAAGTTTTGTGTATAAATTGACTCTTTAATTTTGTGTTGTGTATTTAGTTTTTAATTCAGTAAAAACCAATCCTCATTATTAATTGCAAATTTATAATACTCCCAAAATAATGCACTGTTAATTATTATAGTAATTAATTTTTTTTTATGTCAAACTACTTTTGTATTTATTAATATAATTATTTTACTTTGAAATTGATGTGAATTTTGCTTATTTTTTACATCAATGTGAATATAACTTTGTATAATTGCTCTGTAGATATATGTAGAAATAATTTGACATTGTACATATTTAAAGAAATTGCAATAAAAGTTTAAACTCCTGCAAATGAGAAAAAAATAAACTTTAAACAGTGTTTTCTCTAAACAATATTTTTCACTATCACACACACACAATAACTTCTCAATTTTCAATTGATTCAAACAAATGTTCAGCTAAAAAAATCTGTATTTACCATTTAATTCATCAAAAATTAAATTCTATCATAAAATCACTTATATACTAATTTGGATAGAAAATTATAGTCCTGATTGTTTTTTCAAGTTTCATTTAAATAAATTATGAGAATTTCATTAGGGCAGTTCTGTATCATATTTATCACACAATAAGAAATTATTTTAGAGCTTATACTGTGGCTCCTAATTTTGGGACTAGCCCTCTGTTTTTGGCTAGCCCTCTGTTTTTCCGAGACTCCAAAGAAGTCGCTTGAAATGTCTCAGATTTATTTGAATATAGAAATTAGATTTTCCCCAACAATAGGAAATACAACATCCTTCAATTCATTCCTGAACATCTACTTTCTTATTTGGCTACTATAAAGAAGGATTTATTTTCTTCTTAACTTACCAATTAGGATTAGAAACTATAACAACTGATTTTACTCATTTTTTTTTCATTCTAATGAACTATTGAAGTTTCAATTAGTGTATGGATTTATAATTGCCACATATAAATCAAAAAGCAACTCATACCCATATTTAGTTTTTCATTATATCTTATGCTTTTTTGAATTTTCTCTAATATTCTTTTTTTTTAATTTTTTCCTTGCAGGGAATTGCGGAATCATTTAAAGTAAAGAATTTAAAACAACAATCTATAAAAATTCTGCAAAATGCATTTGTTTCAGTCTTTAAACATCTGAAGAAAAACTTTTCCCTGTTATGTGAGCACATTTCTTGGATATGTTCTGTACTGTTATGTTTACCTGCAAAGCACTTAGAGAATTCATTATGTGTTACTAAAAATAACAGTGATATTGTTCCACTTACCTTTATTTGGTGCTATCTTGTAAGATGTGGAAAAAAGCCTCTCTCTTCTCTTAGGCCTTGTATTGAAGAAGGAAAGCATGCTTCTTTAAGGTAAATATGAAGAGCTGTATGGTTGGTTCTAAGGCACATTTTAATAAATCAAAAGCTTAAGTTAGCAATGAAGTTTATACATTGACAACATAAGATAACATTTAATTAATTATGAATTTACTTCCTAATCCACGAACAATTGGCTAAAATTAAAATAATTAAATTCATTTAAACTGTTCCCGTCATAGCATTTGTACTCGTAGCATATTAATTTGTTGTCAAAAAAGAGGTTAATTGTTGGCTGCCAAATGCACTTAAAATATTCTTCCATTCCAAACAAGGTTCATTGATTTAAACCACAAGTTAAATCATGATTTAAATCAAATGATTTTTTTAAAGGAAATATTTGATTTGAAATGTTTTAAAGATTTTATGTAAGATTATTTGTATATTTTTATTGATATTCTCAGTTTTAAAATTTAATGTAAATATATTGTTTCGTCAATAAATTTTGATTCGAAAACTTGCATTAGTAACATAGTGGAAAATAAATTACAGCACTTTTGAAATGACATTTTAAAAATCTTTTAATTCCTGTGAAATTTTCAGAATGAAATTCTAGGAACTAAATGAAAATAAAACTTATGACGGACATTTTTTTCTTGGAACTAAATGAAAATTTATTACAGTTATAGAATATCGATTTTTATGTTTAATGGAGAAAAAAAATATGGCTGAAAGTAATTTTCTTAATTTGGTTTTTAGCCTATTTTTCAGTAGTTAATTCGATTCCATTTTTAATATTCCATTTCTATTCCATTTTTAATAAATTTGAATAATGCGTATGTATTAAACATTTGTATGCTGTTGTATAGGTTGAAATGTTTTGTTGATTAAATTTTCATAATAGTTCAATTATAATTAAGTTTATAAAATTTAATTATTATAAACTAAAGTACTTAAACTATCTTGGAAGAAAATTTTAGAAACAAATGATTTAAATCAAGAAAATTTGATTGTAATATAATAAATCAGATTTTTTTTTTAATTTTTAAAGGAAATAAGAAGAAGAAAAATCAAGAACCCTGATTCAAAAAAAATGAACGATTGTCACTTGGTGCCTTCATCCACTGAGATCTGTGAAATTTAAAGCCCTAGCAAACTAGTCAAATAAATTTTGTTGCGTCATTAAGTAAAACTAAAATATGATTTTATTTTTCAAAATGTTGCTATTAACTTTTTCCCACTAAAAGACTTTCATATGTATGAAGAACAAAAATTTTATAATTTATATTTTGAGTGAATAAACTTAAATGATTTATATCTTCTGCATCCAAAAATTTTGTCTTAAACTTGTGACCTCATTTTATGTGGAATTTTTTTTTTATATCTAAAAAATGTAAACAAGTAAAAATACAATGTAGTGGCAAAAGTTAGTTTTGACTGAACATTTCAATTGATTTTTCTTATCATTGAAAAGTTCCAATTTCATATAATATTTTCAAATCATTTCTAATATAAGCCAGTGAATAATTTCTAATTAAAATGACAATTAAAAAGTGTTAATGAAATATTAAAATAATTTATTGAAATTTTACCTGAAATTCAGATCTATGCTAGTTGTGAAGAAATTTTTAAAATCTCATTCAAATCTTGATTACAAAATTTATAATAAGTTATGAAAAAAAAAATTTTTTTTTTTAATATAACCAAGGAAAAGATAATATTTAAAAAACATTTTTCTTCTATACATTATAAAAAAACAACAACTGATGCTCTGCTTTCAGTGTTTAACAATCTGGTACATCTTGTTTCACTAATTTGGATCTAATATACTGAGATCTAATATTTATTAAGTACTGAATTTCAGTACTTACTAAAAAGTACATAATAATATAAGAAATTGATTCAATTGCTTACAGTTAAAAAAAAGTTAAGGAAATATTGTGCAATCAAAAAATAGCTGCACTTTTCAACTAATACATGAAGAAAATAAATCTTGTGAGTAAACATGCACATAAGTGAATAAAAGGTAGTAAAAATAATGAATTCTTACCTTTGTCTTGCACGTGTTTACTCGTGCTGTCTTCACTAATTCTTCAATTTTGAGCGAATATTTGTTGTACAATATTACGCAAAAAGATGAGACATTAATAATTTAGCAAAAGCACAAATTGCCATGTAAAATATGAGTTTATTCTTATGTAACCATAAGTTGTAGAACTAGTGCTTTAAACAAGTTTGAGTATAGATTAGTTTTAAAAGAAAAAATGAAATTTGTATAAAGTTATACTTTGCATAATTAAAGTTTGCCATCCAGTGACTAAAATAATAAACATTGCATTGAAAGATTAGTGATAACTTGTATTTAATAACACTTTTCCATATTCTTAAAATTCAATTAAAATTAAGGTAATAATTTTAATACATTTCTAAAGTTTAAAAATTTTTGTTTAGGAAGTAGTTTTGTTAGAAAATCTGCAATCATGTCTTAAGATTTACAACAATCAAACTTAATTACTTTATCATTTTGTGAATTTCTCAAACAATGATGCTTTACATCGCATTATATAAGTGTCAGTTTTACGTGTTTGTGAGAGAAGAATGTAAGTTTAAAGAAAGGTGTTATAAAATATATATTTTATATTTCTAACATTTTAAAGCAATATATAGTTAAAATGGTGCCATGCCTTTTTCGATACAAACAGTTAAATTTATCTGCATTATAACTGTTTTAAATAAGTTTAAAATTTTGATAAATCATATATATGTTTTTCTTATTATTATCTTATACAGTACTTTATTGTTAAGTAAGTATTTGTTTTTTTGTATAAGATAAGTTGTCATTTAATTTTATTGTAGAGATAAAGAATACATTTATTCTGCCGTATGTAATTGTTTCCTGTCTGGTATCTGTAATGAAGAGAGTGAAATTAATGTGCCTGAAAAATGCATTTCTTGGTTGATGGAGACAATAGGTTGGGTTAATGTCTTGAATGAGGCAAAATCTCAATTTCAACTTCTTACCGTTGGAGAAGTAAGATTTTACTTTCAGTTGTTTACAAGAATTAATTACATATGCTTAATAAGGAGAAAAAATTCAATGTGTCTTATTTTTAGGTATTTAGATTTTTAAATGATGTTTGTGTAGCTACAATAATTGGTTGTTCTGGGCTGGAATGTTGCTATAGCTTGTTACCAGTATCTAATTTAACTCATCATCAGCTCATAGAAAATCTTCCTATTGCCATTACAAAGCTCTGTGGGAAAGAAAAATGGCTCAGTGTTGTAGATAAGGTTGGTTAATTTCCTTTGGTTTTTTAAGAAATTCCTTTATATATGTATTGAGATATAGGATTCTTACATTTTACTGGGTTTTAAAATATATTTGCCATGCCTGGGTAATAAAAATCTAATCAAGTAGGCGTTTTTTTTATTACAGAGTGTATTTGTATAATTAAATATATTTTGGTTTAAATATATTTTTAATACAATATAATTTTGTTAATTTAATTAAATAGTAAAAATAAAATTATGCACTTTATTTCCAAAACTTCCCTTTTCTTAGAGTTTACTTTCAAGTAAATAGGAGTCCGAAATCTCTATGCACCTTGGTGATTTTCTTTGTTTCACCAGATCTAGCTAATAACACTGATTTCATTATATAATAATTTTTGTGAATGGTGTATTATAGCTGCTTTCAGCTTTTTTTCTGATTAATTTCTAATTCCTGTTTTTCAAAACTTTCCCCAAGCATGCATGTGAAAGCGTTACATAATTTTCACATTTTAATCTAATATTTACTAATACTATAAGTTGTTCAAATGTTTATGGAAGATATGGAAATTTGTCACTGGAAATAATGTAAGCAAAGTTTATCCTTTTTAAAAATATAAAATGTGATTTAGTTTATATTTTTTAAAAGAACTTCCTTTATAATACCTATTTAATAAAAAATAAAACAATAACTTTAGATTATTATTATAACTGGACAATTTTGCAAACCTGCTAAATTTGTACAAATTCTATTCAAAGTTTGTAAGTAAAATTAACATGAAAAATACATATAAATCTTTATAAAAGTTGCCAATATAAATATCAATTATCTATAAAGATTTATAAATTTTTTTAAATTATAAAACCGTTATGAATGATTATAAACATCTATTACATTATCAAATCTTTGGTAATTTTGTAATGTTTTAAATTTTTCAATGAAATTGGTGCAAATTTGATTCATGTAATTTACAGCTCTAGCTTAGAAAGGTTTTTAACTCTAAACACATTAAACTTATTTAGTAATTGTTTCTAAATACTCTTTAGTAACAAAATGGTATAACATTTTAAATTCTTTTTTCAGCTAATAGATTGGTTTATGATGTTGCTACAGAGTCAACATATGGATGAAAATGACAAACACTACATTAAATTAAGCCTTTGCTCTATGAGAAGTTTAAAAGAATTTCAGAAAAATGAAGTATGGACAAATGTGATCAATAATATTTATTAATAAATAATTTAAATAAATGTATTTTACAAAAATTTGTTTAGCTTTGATACATATAAAAATACATCACAGATGAATATGACATTTATCTCACTCATGTTTAATTGACTCAAGCAGTTGAAGCTATCAACGAATACGTCTGGTATCTCATAACTTCAAACACCTGCAGATATTTGCTGTTGTATTCTCATCATCATACGTTGGTCTAGCTGCTTTTGGCGAAAAGAAGTTACAGCAGCACTAACTATACTTAAGCAAACCATGCAGCTTTCAAAAATGAAAAAATTCCTTTCTTCTAACCATAGTACTTTGTCACAACTATAAAGAAACAAACAAACAAAAATGCTCTAAAATCAATTTTCTGTTTAATATACATTGTAAGTGCATACGCCACTGAATAAGGGTAATTAATATAAATAAACTGATATAAATATTCTAAAAACTATAGTTTGTTAAAATCTTATTTATTTTGGTATAATAAAAAACATGATTAACAAATTACACAGTTGAGTAATCATTTTTTTTACGTGCTTGACCCCACAGCAATTTCTATTGTAAACATCTAAGATTTTTCAGCATAAATTGCAACATTTCTACTTTGTTTTTAATTATGATGTGTTGATTTCGAATGTAAATTCATATTGTCTTGTTGATCACTTTTTTAAGTATACACACAGTTTTTTTAAATCAGAATTTTTTTACTATATATATACCACACATAAATCTCACAAGTGGTTTGGGTGAACTCCATTCACATGGGCCTGATTTATCACAAGTCCAGAGAGGCTCAGGTTTCGTAAATATTAGAAATATCGACAACAGGCACGTTAATGTCTATCTTTTTAATCCTTTTTCATAGCAATAAATAACGCTTAGCCACTTAGCATAAGCATGTTTTCACCATCTAATTTTTTTATTTATTCTTCTAAAATAGATATGTGTAGTTACCAGTGTAACTGTATAATAATTTTTCACAATTCTCATTATTCTTTAACTTAGTTTGATTTGAAACAATTTTATTGTGATGGATACAATAAAAATAATAATTTTTAAAAAAAGTTATTTCAGTTTCAAAATTACCTAGCTTTTTTGCAAATTTTTTCTAGTTTGTAATGAGTTAAAGTTTCAATGTCATATAATTATATTTTTAAAACTCTGTATTTTTGTCTTAAAAAAATTACAAAATGTAAGTTTGTACTTTCTTTTTTTTTTTTCATCTTTAATACTAAATTCATTATTTAATATTTAATTCATTGTCATCTGCAAAATGAATATTTTTCAAGTATCCCATACACAACAATTTAAATGTTAACAAAAATAACTTGTTCAAATTCATGTTAATCATCAATGCATTAATTTTGACAAGTCTGTTTTAAAGATTGTGATAAAAATATCAATAAGAGATCAACAGAGAAATGACTTATTAAAAATATTAGTTTATAGCTTCAAAATATTGTTTCCACAGTAACCTTAATAGTATGCAAATTGATATTTTTTTTATTAACATAATTTTAAATTTTGAAAGAGAAGCATTAAAAACATAAGACTTAAAAGTTTTTTTTTAAAAAAAAAATTTGACATGTACCTCCTATAAACATCTCCAGATACTTTACAAGAAACCATTTCTTTGTAACCAGTTGAAACACAAGCTGGTAGATGTCTGCTCACCTAAAAAATGAAAATTATTGATTATTTTGATGAATGAATTTAACGATAAAATTTACACGGTGTGTAACCAAATCTTTTAACAAAAAATAAGCAACTTTTAAGCACTCAAAAAACTTTTTAAGCACAATATACATTAACAAAATGCAAAATAATTTTCAAAGACTTTACATGATCATGATAAAATAACTAGTTTCTGACAAAGAACTCTTTTTCTTGATTATATTAGCCATTATAAAATGCTTGAGAGACTTTTTGGTTCGATATCAGAGAGTGGAAAATGAGACTATCTTGCAAAATGCAGCAGAGTTGTGCTTAAGAGTTCAATAATCTTACCGAACCAACTCAGTAGACGCATATGCGGACTTCCAAGTATTTCATCAAACTTGTAAAATGATTGGCGCTTTCATACGCTATGGACCAATGGTGCACCGAAATAGATTGTGGTTGAATGAATTGTGAAAACGTTGAATAGAACAATGTGAAAAGCACGCTATTGCATAATACAGGATGAAAATCGATAAGGTAAAGAAAAAAATCTCATTTTCGAAAGGGGAAAATTAAGCACTTTTTAAAAACACCCAATGGAAAAAGCACCTTTAAGGGCTTTTAAAAATCGAAAATAAGCACCTTTAAGTACTTTTTAAAAACGCTACGCACCATGATTTAGATTAATGAATAAAACTCATAAGAAATATTTAAAACAAATGCCATGCAAAGATTTATACTATCTTGGGACAGAATCAGTTCTAAGAAACTGATAAGAACTTTATAAGATCTAACTACTAGAGGTTGGGATGTTTAAAATCAANGAGGGAAAGATGAAGAAATGTTTGTTTATTTTGATTGTTAAAAAGTGTCCGGGAAATCGACCCTTCCGGAAAAGGGACGTCCGGATATGGGACGTTACACTGTATTATGAAATTTTTACATATCTTAGCTATAATCAAAGATAATTTTTAAAAACTGAATTTAATTTTTGACTAATAAATAAGATAATCTCTTGTCACTGATTGTGTCTTTTGGTTTTTAAACTAAGAATTTTTCATAACTTCTGCAAATTATTATTATTTTCTCCCACTTATCATTTTAAAAAAAAAGAATAACAGAATTTATAGCTTATGCTTAAAATAGAACATAATTTATCTGTCAACTTCTAACAATTTTTAAAAAGGAAATACTTCTAACTCGATAATGAGTAAAATATAATAAAAATCACTCTCATCGTAAATACGATTATATTATGAAAATTTAAAAAGGTGTAATGATAATCAAAGATTCTTTTTAAAAACTGAATTTAATTTTTGACTTATAAATAAGCTTATTATGTATTTTGATTTTTAAGTCAAGAAATTTTCATGACTTTTGCAAATTATAATTATTTTCTCCAACTTCTCAACAATAACAAAAAAACAGAATTTATAGGTTATGTTTACAAAATAACGCATGAGAAATTTATATAATAACATTTTTGGAAAAGAAATATTTTTAAATTTCACAATTTAATAATAATAGCTCAATAAAACCCATTACCTTTTCAAAATCAGAACATGGAGCACAGTGTTGCTTTATAAAGTAATCTTCAATTTGCCAACAAGGAGCACCAGATATGTTCTCACTAAGACTGTTATTCTGAGGATACTTCTCATTTGTAGGAGTTAAATAACTTTCAACAGCCAATACAACCAATGATGAACTAAAATACATAGTTAAAAATAAAGTTTAATATTTAAACAATATTATTGCAGCCAATTAAAATAATTAATCATACAAAAGCATCATTTTATTAACATTAAAATTTTTAAGTGAAGCACTGAACAAAGCTGAGAATCTATCGCCAAAGAGACTTTAAACCTGCAAAAAATTTTAGAGACTTCTAGAGGTTTATAGAAAAATACAAAGATTTCCCCAGAGATGGTTCCTTGTTACACCCTTCAAGTTAGTTCCCTACTGTGATTTTTATTTATTTTAATAGTTTCACACAGCCATTGCCTGTAAGCCGCCCAAACTTGGCAATTATTTTGCAGCAGAGAGATGATACAGAAATCTTTCCATATTAAAAAATACTTAATATTTTAAATCGCAATTTAATGCTTTTTTTAGCTTCACGCACCCAAGGCCTAGAAATTGCCTAATTAAGGTTATTTGGCACAGATACATAAATCTTATATAGAATTAATTATTAATCAAAGAATTATATTTAGATAATAGAATTATTATTTAATCAAGAAAACAAATCGAATAGCATAATACAAGGATAATAACAGCGTGCAGGATCACTTTTCCCTTCACATAATTTTCTTTAAAAAAACATTCAAACATGTTAAAGGATGGCTCAGTTAAAAAAAAAATTTTAAAAAAAAAAAACAGTACTGAGCAGAATTTTTTTTTTAGGGAAAAAAAATTTTTTGCTCTATTTCCTATCATTTCTTCTTATTAAAATATATTGTTTAACTGGTTCGTCCATGTCATTTAGTCACCATTGCATTCATTATTCTTATCAGTAAAAGAAAATAAAACTTCCAAATTAATAATGCTACAAAAATTTTAATTAATTGAAAAACAAATCAAATTAACTAATGAAAGTTGTCAAATCCTGAACTTACAAAGCTAAACACACGATAAAAATAACCATACGGCGAAAAGTACAGAATTCAATCATAATTTTATACAGATTCGATACTCAAAATTGTGAAATAAATATAAAGGACCATCAAATCTCGTCGGAAGTTAAAATTAAAAATAATTTAGTTTAGAGCATTTGAATGTCACTTCTCCATAACAACTCAGTCTTAATACAAACAATAGAAATCGTCTGCCAGTTTTAGTTTTGTAATTAGTTTTGTCTTGTTGAAACATTGCTAAGCTCTAAATCTATATTTTTCCTAAATGACATTATAGTGCATTAAATTGAATATTTACAATTTAATACGTAATAATAGGTCATATTTATTTTAATTATAGTACGAAAATATAATAATAAGAAAATACTCATCGTAACGAATAGGCTACCGTGAAATTTTATTTCATTGAGGAAAATTTTTAACTACTTCAACTTTAACCAGATAAAATAACAAATAATAACTAAATAACATTTCGCCTTGTAAACAAGACGAATAAATGTCAGTGAACTAAATTTTAATAAATTAATTTTATTACATATCAAAATGGGTAAAGGTTATAATAATTATATGTGTAAAAAACCTTTTCACCCTGGATCGAAGGCAAATATAAAAAGAGTGAGTATAATTTAAGAAAAAAGTATAATTACATTTTTATTTTTACCCTAAAGAATTGGATTTCGTCAAAATCATATTCTGATGAACTATAATTTTATTGAGATTTTATAATATCTAGAGTTAGCGCTGATAAAAAGACATTATACTGAAAATAATTATTAGTATCTTAAAGGAAATGTTCCAAATTTTTCTTTTCTGTATTTAGACTTTAATCCAAATGTTCAAGTGGGTCAGATGGAAAGTCTGAATAATTAGACTTTTTTTTTCTGTTTTCTAAGAATTCAATTATAAATTTTAAAAGAATGCTTAATATTTTTTTACAAAAATTTTGTCAAAAGCATACTATTGTGTATCATGTTTGTTATTTTGAAAAAAGGATTTATCAATATAATTTTTTTTTTAATTTACCAAGCAATTGCAGCTTAAGGGAAAAGTTATTGTAGGGATAAACTAAGTGTAAATATACACTTCTAAATATGCTGATGCTTATAAATTCTGGATGATTAAAAATCAAATTCTTCTAAAAGTGGGTGTGTAATTTTTTGCTGATTTTTCCATCAGTATTTAAAATCATAAAAATAAATTTATAGTAAATACTACTACCCAGAGTCGAAATGTATGTATATCACACATTTATATGCCATGCCACACATATTGCACAAACTGCACACCCAAACACCTCTTTCAAATGCATGTTAATGAAAATGTGTGAATTATTATTCATATGTTTTCATTATTTATCTATGAAGAAATAGAAAAATGACATTAACCACATTAAATCTCCATTAACTCTTTTATTTTAGTCATAAATCAGAAGCACTAAATATTATTACCAAGGAAGTATTGCACACCAATGAACACTGGTGGAACTGTATTGTGTTAATTCTTTGTAATTTTGCAGAAATAAGCATTTATGGAGTTAACCCATTAACGCCCACTGTCCTCATGAGGACAGTCAATAAAACATTATGCAAAATTTTTATTTTTATTTCAAAAATAATTTTTCTTTTCTGGGAAGATAGTTGGCAGCACTATCAACACACCTGCAATATTTTTAATAAATATGCTGCAATATTTGGTTTGTTATTTGGACCGCCATTTTGAGATTTTTCTAGCCTCACACAAGACTTTTCTTTTTATGCAGTCATATCAAATAAAATAAAGGCAAATTATTTTATTTATTGCAGTTTTTCTCTTAAGAGTATATTTCAAAATATAACGCTAAATAAATTTGTTTTTTACAGTTTCTTTTCTTTTTATATAACATTATATTTTACTGTCCTCGATTGAGGACACTGGGCGTTACCGGCAAATTTTAAAGAATTTTCCAGAATTTGTTTTAATTCATTTATTTACCCATACGTGTTTGTATTTTGATTGAGTAAGTGAATTTCAGAATTTGCAGACATTTTTTTAACATTATTTCATTTATTTTAGGAGATTATTTTACCTTGTACGTGTTTTTTAGATCTTCATATTTCTTTTCCAAAAATTCAATCCAATAGGTACTATATCCCGTAAATTTCTTACAATAAGATAGGATTTCTTACAATAGCTCAGGAATATTTGTTCTCAAACAAATTTAGGCAGTTACATTTCAATGATTTCCTGAGGTTAATGACTAGGATTTGGATGGAATGACCATAAATCAATTACAATTGCAATGAATTTCGAATAAATAAATTCTGTGGGGGGCAAACAATGAGATGGTGGAAAGTACGAAAGGAAAGAGTGCCTGTACCGCAATAAAAAATCATACGTGAGTACAACACTTTCATGGGGGATAGGGATCAACATACCTGTTTCCTAGAAAAGCACACTGAATCAATAAGGGGCGAAAAGGGAATTGGTGTTTATTTACAAGAATGATAGACATGTAGATAGTGAATGCTTACATTTTGTAAAAAGCTCTTAACAAAAAAGAGAGTAAGAAGCAGATTTCAATAAAGTATGTTCAAGGTATGATTGTCGTATCATATTTGAAAAAAGGACATTTAGATCGAGTAGATAATCAAATGATAAAATCAACCTCTACTACTGAAGTACGATCCTATTGGACATACAATAGCAAAAAGGGAGAAGCAAAGACGTTGTCAGATGAAAAACTGAACATCAAAACCACGAACATTTTATCAGAAATGCAACGTAACATCATGCATGTTTTCTTTTCCAAAGTTTCATAATAAATTGAACAACTAAGTGGTATATTCTTCAGTGCATATTTTATATGCTTTCATGTACTGAATATTTTACGTATTTTTAATTATTTGATCAGTCCCGCAGTGGACTGATCGTTAAGACACGGTTCCCATCAGATCACCGAAGTCAAGCATCACTGACTGCGATCAGTGTGTGGGTGGGTGACCCACTTGGATCCATCTGCGTTGGGACCGAGGGTGTGCGGTGTTGGTCCTCGTTAAACTGTGCTACCGTAAAGTGCTCGACTTCGCGTGCAGTTCGTCGGGCTACCGAAGCGGAGGTGCCAACCCCTCTGCAGAGGATCAAAATTGTGATGGCATGTCTTCGGATCATCCTCCGGGATGTTTCCCAGACCGTCGCCAATAGCCCATTGCGCAGCTCCAGTGCGACGTAAATGAACAACAACAACAATATATGTACTTAAGTAGTTTAATAATACTCTACTAAATAAATATACATAAAGTGAAATTACGTGGTATTATTTATTTACTGAAATTGGCTCTTTTCATTTTGTTCCTTTTTTGTAAATCCAAAATTAAAAAATAATAATAATAATGTTATCAGAAGTCTAATATTTAATTTAGTTTTCAGTAATACTACAATTTATACTTATTCTGTACCAAAAAAAAATTAAATAGACTTTTAAAATAAGAACTAACTACAATATTTGCATGTTATATCAAGAAAAATCATTTTTTCCCTAGAATGCCCAGTGTCCTCAAATGAGGACGGGCTGTAATTTAAAAAGTAATGCAAAATATGCACAAATTTTAAGGTTTATACTCTATTTAGGTCATAATAAATAGGATTTGAAAGATTCATTGAAATATATTAAGTAGAATTAATTTGGGCGTTAATGGGTTAGTATTGAGCGTTTATTAATAAAAAAGTATTAAGTATTGTCAGCAAGTGCATGCCCTTCAACTTGCTTACTTCTCTTTTTATTAGAATTTATACTTGATCAAGAAATGTCGGCGATATATTTCTCAACCTGTGATTGATTACAACCCACGAAAACTAAAAACTATTTTTATTGCAGATATTATTTGTAAAACCAATTTATTACAGAGTAAATTGGACTGACACTTTTGATTTAAAATCCTTTTTAGCATTTCTGTAACTAACAAAACATGAACATCCAATCAGTAGATCAAAAGTTATTAAGGTCTGTCCATTTTTTATTTTGTGCACTGTACATCTCAGCTTTTTCAAATATTGGAAATGAAAGAATTTCTCCAGTTGAGATTAGACAGTTATTGGCTATTACTTTAGTTTTACCTAAGCTAAAAAATCTGCCTAAATTATATCATAAAACAATTAAAATCAATATTTAGATTGATAATGATTAACAACTCATTGTTATTATCTTTAATATAAACTGAATAATTATAATATATCAAGTAATAATGATCTAAGGGTACAAATAGAAGCACGTTTTTTTCAAAAATCAGTTAATAATTTTAGCTTTATTTTTTGTACATGATATAAATTGAATCATTATTATAAAAGTAATGATAATGCAAATATTGTGCATGATTTGAATAGTTATGTTGTTTGACTTCTAATAACATGTTCCCAATGACAGAAAAGAAACTTGCCCGAGGTATTTAACAGCTAGTGGTACTTTTTGTCATTTAAAAAAATTTATAAATATAAATAGTATGCCAAATACTTTATAAATTTTTGTGGGGGTGCGAAAAAACTTATGAAACCTTTTGCAAAATAAATGGGCGTCAGCTGATTTAATATTTGAACATTTCAAATGTAAGTTTTAAAAGAAAAGAAAAACACATTTTATTACTAGAAAAAAAGTATAAACAAAAAAGATCAATACAAAAGAGATAAATACTGATGCAAGAAACAGAACATCTGTATTGTAATCACGAAATTTAAAACAATTATGGTGATTAAAGTACAGATTGTCGTCACTGAAAAATTTAAATGAGAAATTTATATTATTTTAAATATGGATACCTTTAAATAAAAATGGACTTTTAACACCCTGGATCGTTAGGACCCGTAGTTTCCAAAGTCTAGCGGAATGACTGCTGATCTATAATCTGTATTGGCTTCATGGAAGTAACACAAAATTAACATGTCTTATAGACATTTATTATGATTAATTATGTCTCTATTTTTATTTTATTTCCTTGACTAGTTTTTAATAATTTACTTATTATATCTGATTAATTTTAAAGTGTTACTTTTATTAGCTCAATTTAAATTTTAATCCTTTGAAAATATATGCAATTTTGGTTTAATATTTCATAATTACTTAGGCATGGATGGCAGAGCAAAAAACAGAAAATGAAAAGAGGAAGCAAGACGAATTGAAAGCTCAGTATGAAAAGGAACAAGATTTATATAACAACAGGTCTGCAAACTGTGTGATATATCCATTATTTAATTTGTTTAGAGATCTTTATTTATTTTTTAATTTATAGGATATTTCACATTCCATACCTTTATAGTGTAATGCATAGTATTTTTTTATAAATATGAATGAAAAAAATATACATTTAATTTTATTTAAGATCATTTCCATATAGCTAATTAGTTTTGTCATCCAATAAAAATTTATCTTTAAACATTAAAATAATATCTTGCAAAATTGTTCTTCATTTATAATTTCTTAATGCTGTTAGTCCTGCTTAAATAAATTCCAATTACTCCACTTGTTACACTAAGAGGCCATTCTCGTTGCATTTTGATTGATTAATCAAGAGTGGAAGTCTTCAATTTTTTTACAGATTTATGTCTTTTCAAAAAATATTTCAATGGAATGAGGAAGAGCAGGATGGCTTAGGGGTTAGAGCGTTCGCCTTCAAAAGATGTGAACCAGGTTTAAATCCCTGCGATGGCTGATCAATACGAATTCTGCACCCGGATCACATTAACCACAGTGCTGGTGTAATATCCTCAGAGATAGACGTATCATGGGTTAGAGTCCCCTTGCCATCAGGCTTACCGTATGAGGTTTTCATGGGTTTTCCCTACATGTAACGCAAATGCAGATTAATTCCATCAAAAAGTTCTCCAGAAAGGCACATTTCTCCTGATACTTGATCCAGGAGTTCCCTTGCCTTCTGGATTGGGTGCCAAATTACAAGGCTATAGTGTTGAACATTAGTAGTCATAAACCCAAAAATTGGTTCTTCTGTTTAACGATGGTTATAAATTAAAATGGAAAGAGATAGAACAAGATAAAAATTAATAATAATAAAGTAAAAAGTCTGTAACAGAAGCCTAGACAAAGTATTTTTTCCTCATCTTTCTTAATGCGTGGTTACATCTATCAAACCTATATGTTAACTGTTAAAGTTATTTTGTGTGTGTTTTTAAAGCTATGAGGTCATTAAAAACTGAATGAGTGAAAAAAGAAACAACGTTTAATTTAGTTTATTTATATTAATCTTTAATTTAATACTAGATAATTGACTTATATATGTATTTATCAATGATGAAAAGCTCTTTATTCTTTAAAAGAAAAGTGAGATTTTTAGTTATTTTAATTTCTTAACTCACTGGCGGTTTTGCACGTGAAAAGACCAGTTTTTTCATGTTATGAGATAGGGAATCAGTGTATTAGGGAAAAACATTCTCCCAATTTTGCCCATTTACTAAACAGTCAGCAGGTTAAGAGGTTTATATTGATTTATTCTGATTTTTACCTGATCCTATTTTGTGGAGAGAAAAAAAAATTTTTTTAAGATTAAGAACTAGATTTAATTTTTTTTTCATTTAAAAATTTTAGACTTAAAAATTTTCTTAACCTTCATCCAATGTTGTGTCAATCACTTTCCCAATTTGCTCTGTTTCCCCAAAAAGAAAATTACATTCTGAAGGCATGAAGTGCATCTGTAAATTTATAAGGACCACCTTATTTCCTTGGTATGAACCAGAAATTGTAAGTCTTTGCCAAAGTGGAAAAAACTACCCTGGAAGAAATTAATTTCTTGGAACTCTAGTGAAAGAAATGGAGGAAACTATTTTCAAGAGAGAAATATCAAATATTAAAAAGAAAAAATTTGAATAGTATTTTATTGCAATTTAATTTAAATAATAGTATTGATTTCCAGGCTGTAATATGCCACATTTAACAAGTGAAAAATGGATTTAATGACTTTCTTAAGAAATTTTAAAAAAAAAATTTTGCTCATTAATATTTCACGTAAATAGTAAAACCTTATTTTATAATTCAATTTTTAGTGAACTAATACATTAAAAATTAAATTTGCAAGATATACCTGAACTTTTGTATCAAATACATATATCCTACATAACATTTTTAAATGATAATAATTTGAATTTGGTTGGCAGGGTGGTCTTGTGTTTTGATTTCATTTTTATTCCATCAATTACAGTTTTGCATATTTATTATTTCGTAAATAGTAAAACTTAATGTTATAATGTGTTAATAAATTAAAATTTTAACAATTAGGAAGTATATCTGTACTATAAAAAGTATCTTGAAGTTATTCTATGCAACACCTAATAAATTTCAATAATTACCTGAAACTTAATAATAAAAAAGAGTCTTTACCTAAAAATCTAATATTATAATGTGTTTTTTTATGAGTTAATAAATTAAAAATTTTAACAATTAGAAAGTTTATCTATGCTACAAAAAGTATCTTAAAATTATTCTATGCAGCACATTGTAAATTTGTAAAATTACCTGAACTTTTGCATCAAATGCATATATCCTACATCAAGTTTTCAAATGATTATGATTTGAATTTGATAGTCTTGATTTGGTGGTCTCGCATAATCCATATTTTAATTTCATTTTTATTCAATTATTCATAATTTTACACATTTCTAATTTTTTCTTCTTGTATTTAAAGGGCTTTGGTAAGTTGTGAAAGCAAGGATAAACTTGAATTGAACTTTATGTATGAAGCACCACCAGGAGCTAAAAGAGGCAAGTTTAAAAAATTCTTTGTATGGATTTTCTTTATTTCTGTATAGTAACTTTTCCAAGAGGAGAAAAAACTATTGAAATGTATGATAAATTCTGTTTGGCTCATTTCAATAAGTTTTTTCTATTTGAATTATTATATACGTGATTTCAATTTTTGATTCCATATATTTTCATTATGCTTATTTTTGCTTTCTTTTTTCATGTTTTATCTTACCTTTTTTCCATGCTGTGGTGATATAGAGCGTCAGGTATGTACTTATTTATCTTTACTGCTACTCAAGATTTTATGTTTGCTTTTAATATATTTATATGACTGTTTCCTAATTTTAAATAATTGATAAACTGTGTCATATTTTTAATTTTTTTTTTGTAAGAAATATTTTTAAATTAGTCTTTAAATTTTACTCAACTTCAAAGATATTGCAATACATTAGTTATAAGTATTGTAAATATAAACGAAGATTTTACTCAACATTATTTTAAGACTGATTAAGGATTAGATTCAGCTGCAGTTTAAAATATGTGCATTGCCATAGTTAAAATTATTGCGGTACAATACCTTAAAACAAAGTTGAATATTTAGAGGTTGATTCAAAATGAAAATAGCAACTACAAAAGGCAATAATTATTTAATTGAATGGGATTATTTGATAAGAATAAAATAAAATGTGGAAAGAGTTTCAAAATTTAGTTTGAAATATACATTTTCTGTTTTGAAATTACTAATTCCAAACTCAAAATGCACATTTTTAATGTGTTTGCATTGCTGGCTCCAGCTATGCTTTAAAATGTATGGCATAAAATGAACTACCGATTAGATTTGCCTGTGTTGCCATAGTCACAGTAACACAAGAAAAACTGGGGAGTCTCATAAAAAATTATTCGAAAATTTTAAACCTCCTTCTATGTCTTGTGTTATTATTAACAATAAATTCTTTTCAATTAAATACAGTTTGTTATAAAAATTTTCAGCAGAAGATGGAATTGTTGTTATAGTGAACTTGTTTTTATAATGCACATTATTTAATTTTAAAATAAAAATAACTAAATGATGAAATAGGCAAAAACAAATTTACCTCTTTCTCTTTTATTGTAAACAGCTTAAAATACATATCTAGAGTAACTTGCTTTTGTCTACAGAAAATAGACTGGATTATATAACTCTCTACTTGATGAAATACAGTTAATTTCTATGACAGGAACATCTGAGAAATTATAAAATTGTTTAATCACATTCAATTCTCTCCTTAATTTTTTTCTTTTTCTTGGGAACAAGTTTTATGACTACAAAGTTGGCAAAGATAAGGGGGAAACAAAATGCAATAGCTCTTGACGTCATCATTGATTTTAATAAAAAGTTGTGAGGACAAGAAATACGGGAAAGGGGTAGTGTAAATGTTTGGTCTTCAAAAATCATAATCTTTTGAAGAGTGTAGCAGATTTCCAAGAAATAATGGATCAATTACATTATTAATTTGTTAGAAGGAAGATAACTCGGCTGGCAGCTGGCCATACATGTATAATTTGTAAACATAAAGGATTAAGGTTTTAGGAATGAGGTGATGATTGTTTTCATTTTTTTTTTATTTATTTATAATTGAAACACATATAAATTACTATGTCTTCTGTTTTGCTCTTTTGCCTATAATATTGTTTGCTTAAACAGTATATAAATGCATTTCTATAGAGAAATATTGCATTAGTAAAAGACCAGTAATTTTTATTTTGTTATAAACATGCAATTCTTGCATCTTTAATATTAGCATTTTTAAAGTGATGAAGTTTGTCATAATATGCCTTACTTGTTATATCAAGATTCTGCTATAATCTGTTTGTAATTGCTATATTCATTTTGAATAGATTTCTTTGTATAGTTTTGCATGAAAACAAAATTATGCTTAAAAGTAATATATTTTATTGTTAGTTTCTCCTTTAAATGTATTCTAATCTATTTTGGTATGAATTTGTATTCTATTCAAGATTTGTTATTCAAATTTAAAAAACGTCTCTATTTTACCTTGGATGATGTTTTTTCAGAAACTCTTCTTTTCTTAAACTTTTAAGAAGCTCATAGACTTGATATAATTTTAATTATAATTTTGGTCATTTGGGACAAACTATTCTTGTACATATTATATTTGGATTATTTGATATTTTTTAAAGATATTAGATTAAAGATATTTTTTTAGTAACTTGCAAAGACATTGATGCTGTATTGTTTTTTGTTGTTGATTATTATGTGTATAAGCCATAAATTTGATTTAAAAATCAAAAAATAAACAAACAAGATAAGATGTTATCTAAAGACAGGCAATGCATTCATTTTAAAAAAAAATTTTCTAATGGATGCAAGATTTTATTCAGTAAATTGTAATTAAAATTTATTTGAATTGTGCAAATATTCTATCAATCCTGAGTTATGTGTTGTATTAAAACTGACCAATTGTTATAACTAAGATTAAAATGATTTACGTGGGTATATAAGATGGTAGGCACTATCTCTTTCCTTCTCAAGCACAAGAAGTTTTGGCAGTATTTAGTGTTTTAGTGCCAATGTTCCACTTCCAAAGAAAAACTAACTTTTAAGTGTAATAAATTAATATTATTTAATTCTAGAAAGAAGATGATGAACCAGAATTTAAATTTGAGTGGCAAAGAAAATATAATGCTCCCAGAGAAGAGTAAGACTGTATTTATAATAATTGCTAGACACATAAATAACAAATCAGTGGTATTATATATACAGTAAAACCTGTCTATAACGATACTGTAGGGACCTAAATAAAATATTCTTATAGGCAGGTTATCGTTATAGACAGGTTTGAAATTTAAAAGTATACGTTTAAAACTTATGATAAATTAAACTTTTTTTATAGGCTCCAAATGAAAATTTTACTTAGAATTATGAAACAGCACACAAGAAAAATTTACTTACAATTTTATGAATCAAAACAGAAATTATTTAGAAAAATAATCGGTTAGTTTTGTTTGGTTATTTTTGGAAGCAATTGCCATTTCCATGCTCATACATTTCAGTCCATCTAATGAATTCAAATGAACATCAGTTACATTTGATAATGTTGCAACAAAATCTTGCAAAGTGTTAATTAGCAATATGGCATTCTCAGGAGAAATTTGAGTCCTGTTTTGAGAACAGTCAGCTGCTTCTTCCTCATCACTTTGATCACCCGGGATAACTTCTGCTAAAATCGCTATTGAATAGGAATTCCCCTCTTGTCGTGTCGCATCGATGTCTCGTCAGTGTGTCACCCGTTTTTCTGACGAAGCTCTCTCCCTCCTACAATACCCCTTCACCCATTTCTACTGCTCTAATTTCCCCTAAAAGTGGCATTTTTTCTCAGAAACAACGGAAGAATATTACATACAAAGGAGATAAAAAAAAAACATTTTGTTATCTCACATTTAAGCTCGATGGGGAGTCGTTTTCCAACGGTAGAAAAATCGGAATGGAACTATCAACTATCAAAAGAGGAAAAATTATCGTTGTAGACATGTTTCACTGAAAAGTGGTTATCGCTATAAACAGGTTAAAAATACATTGAGTTAATAGGAATTTCACCGGGACCTCAAGGAAATATCGCTATAGACAGGTTTATCGTTATAGACTGTATCGTTATACACAGGTTTCACTGTATATATATACTCACAAGTATATATTTAATAATTGTATAAATTTCCAGTGTTATATTTAAATCGATTTTTATAAAACTAAACTTTTAAAGAAGTCACTAAAAATAACTTTTGATGACTCTTGTCCACTTTTTTAACATTGTAAACTAGTGTACATTCAGTTATCAAATATTTATTTCTATACAAAAATTGTTTAATTACATGCAATGAGATTGATATGAAATAAAGATTGCAGCAAATAACTGTTTTAGCATCATCACCAAAGTATAATTTTAAATTAAACCTTTTTCCTTATATGTATTTATTATAAAAAAATGCATATAAATCGCAACTTTAGATATTTATGATGGAGATTTTTAAATAATGTTAAAAGTGTTGTTTTTGAAGAGAAATTTTAAAAAAAGAAAGGTGTATAATATTATTATATCTAATATATCTACACAATTTTAATTCCGTAAATTTTATTTTTAATTTGAAAACAAATGTATGTTTAATATATTTTATTAATTATGCATATGTATAAAATAAACTAAAATTGTTTGTCTACATTTGTTTATTTTCTTTTCACATTTTAGTTATGCTAAAGGCAATGAAGATATCAAAGATCAACCTTTCGGCATTCCTGTAAGCACTCTCATCTGAAATAATTGTAGTTAAATTTTGTACATTTTTTATCACTTTATACACAGCAGTTTTTTCCTCTTAACATAGGTGAGAAATGTTCGATGCATAAAATGCCACAAGTGGGGACATATCAACACAGACAAGGAATGTCCTCTTTACAATCAAGCCAGTACATCCTCAATGCCTACAAGTATGTGTGTCATTATCAAATATTAACAACAAAACAATTGGATTTTATGTGGCAAATCATAATTATTTTATTTTATTCAAAAGTTTATAAATTGAAATAACATGTAAAATTGGTATTGGTAAATCTTACACTTTAAATAGAAAATAAAATAAGCTGTAATAAAATACATCAATACATACATAATACATACATCAATACATAAATCAAACGCCTTTCACTGCTCTAAAACAACTAAATTGTTAAAGGCTCAGATCAATGTAGGCATTCTGCGTTCTGGCATATTTGAGGTTGATAAAAAAATTCGCTACACAAAATTAAAATTTTTGTCTTATTGAGGACAAGCAAAAGTGAATTTAATGGAGAAATGAAGTCACTAAAACAATTTAGCGAAGTGTATAAAACATTAAAATTAAAGAATTTAAATTTAGATAAGAAAAAAAAGTCGTAAATTGTAAAAAAGAAAATTTTAAAAATGTATAATTCTTTCCCTTTAAACTTTGTTTTTAATTTAATTTTTATTTTAGTTGTATAAAAATAACAAATACAATATTTTGCCAGGATCATGTGATATAACATGTTATAAGTTTTAACTTTTTACAAGTACGCTTTTTAGATGTTAATGTTATTTTATATTCATAATATTATAGTATATAAATTATTAAAAAAAATCTGTGCTGGAATGCCAGAAAACTAAATATGACAATCAATTTCTTTTTCTTCCCCAAGATTTCTCAAATGCTTTGTGATTGGTCTCAAAATAGTTACAGTTACATAATTCTGTTATGCGTATTGGTTTTTTGAGAGCTGTGCAGTTTTTGTTTTTTTTTTTTTAGTTTTTTTTTCACCTTCAATTTTAAGTTTTTTTAATGTATGCATTATTTGATATTTTCTCAGTTATCAAAATATTAAAATTTGCTTAAGATAAAGAAATGTAAATAAAGAAAATTTTTATGAGCCATCTAACCTTTAATTTTAGCATCTATGGATCCAATGGAACTTATGAAACAAATGAGAGAAGATGGTTTTGGTTTAAAAGAAAATGTTCTTGGTCATCAATTAAATCCTGCTGCTGCTAATCAGGTAAATGATGTAAAACATATATTTGTATTTTGTTTAAGTGCTAGGGATTTACCATTCTTGTACACTATTGCTTTTCAACCACTGCTGGATCAACATTTGTAGCTCCTATTAAATTATTCTGATACATTCTCACTGCACTTACTTACTAGATACCAAAACATAGTAGTCCTTGTTAAACAATATGCTGGTACATAGGCTAAAACTGTTTCACAAAAGCAAACTAACACATCAAAGCTATTTGAAAGATGTAATATTAATGTTCTCCTTTTCTGTAAAAATAAACCTGACTGACTTGTCAAGTAAAAAGACCATAATTCTATTTGCCAGATTAAAACAAAATGAATTTAGATCAAGAATACTTATCTAGCTTGCAAATCAACAACAGAGTTCATTACACTATAATAAGCTACAAAAATTTTATGGCATCTAAATTATTGAAAGAAGTAATATCTTAATGTTTTCTTTCCTGTAAAATTATATCTGACTTATTAAACAAAAAGGTATTTGTCTTTGTTTAAAAAAAATGGATTTAGATCAAGCAAACTTATCTCGCTTACAAATCAACAACAGACTTAATTTATTACAACGTAGTTAGCTGCAAAAGATATATGGTGTTAAAATTATTAGAAATACACATCTAAATTATTTGAAAGAAGTAATATATAAATGTCTCTCTTTTCTGTATACCTGACTTCATACCTGACTTTATCAAGTAAAAAAGTCAGTCACCATATTTGTCATAATTAAAAAAATGAATTTAGATTAAGAAAACTTTTTTCGCTTACAACAGAGTTAGCAACAGAGTTATTTGCAAAAAATTTATAGCTCAGGCTGTGGTCAACACTAACCTACAAAAACAAATTAGTATGGTTTTTTTTCTTTTTTAAAAAAAAAATATACAAAAAATAAGGATTTGTTAAATCTCAGTTTTCTCTTAACTTCATTAATGCAGAGTAGTTTGTAACACTTTATCCACTCCGTTGGTTTCTAAATACAAATAAAAGTAAAGTTTCCAAGAACCAGAGTTCGGTAAAAAAATACATATTTTTAACATAATAAAACATTTTGAATATGATTTAGCATTTTAAGATGCTTCTGATTCCATGTTTAAAAAATATATATATAATCTTAATTTGTAAAAGTCTAAAATGTATTGTTACCAAGTTGTGAATATTAATTTTTAAATATTTTTATTTATATTTGTATATTTACTCTTCCACGAACAATATTTTGTATTTTTTATCCCTTTCAAGTATATTAATATTTTAAGATTCTAAATTTGTTTTAAACTGTCATAGCAATTTATTCCCAGTGATGAGGAAAGTGATCCTGAAATTGATTTCTTAAAGTCCCTTTCTTCTGCAGAAAAGAAGAGACTGTTAAAGTAGGTGCCTTAAAGATATATTTTCTATTTAGTCCCATTACTCCTGTATACTTATTCATACATTTTTAATAATAAAAATTCTATATTTCTATCTAATAAATAGGCTAACTAACTTTCTAATTATATACTTTTATTATATGAAATAGTTAAATTTTAATAGAAAAGTTATATATTTCAATCAGATATACATTTTTTTACTTAGTATGCCATTTTAGTTCATCTGTTGTACTAGCAGTAAGCAAAATATTAATGTGTTATTTAGAGGTGTAGTAGAAAGAGTATGCAATAAGACATGTTTCCCCACCCTTAAACCAAAAAGGAAAAGGTCTATGAAACAAATCAGACTAACAAAAAAAAAAATGCATTAAGTAAAAAAATATAAAGCAAAACTGTTCTTTAATTCAAAGCAAGATTTCCATCAAATATATTTTTGTTGTGGTTTAAATATAAGTCTATACATCTGTAGGCTGGAAATAGTAATCACTGCAAGCATCAACTCATAAATTAAAAGGAAGGTTGATTTGAAAATTACAATGTTGGGACTTAACTACAACCAACTATTATTGAGTCGCGATGGCTCAGGGGATAGAGCGTTCGCCTTACAATGAGGCGAACCGGGTTCGAATCCCAGTCTATTCGAATTCCGCATCCGGTTTGCACTGACCACAGTGCCGACGTGAAATATCCTCAGTGGTAGGCGGATCATGGGTTAGAGTCCCCTTGCCGTCAGGCTAACCGTGGGAGGTTCTCGTGGTCTTCCTCTCCATTTAAAGCGAATGCAGGTTAGCTCCATCAAAAAGTCCTCCACAAGGGAAAATACTCGATCCAGGAGTTCCCTTGTCTTCTGGATTGGGTTCAAAATTACAAGGTTATGAGTTGGACATCAGTAGTCGTAAACCCATAAAATTGGGTCAGCTGTTCAAACGATGGTTATAAAATAAAATTAAAACTATCTATTATTGAAACTCAGAGTTTTTTCATTGGCATCTGACATTTATAGCTTTTCTTAATTTGATTCACTATTAACTGATATTTTTTGAAGTAATTGGCTTCAAAATTATATTTGGCATGTATTATTAATATAACATTAAGTATAATTGTCATGTATTTAAGTGTCACTTGATAAAATCCTTATAAAGAACCTTTTTTTCCAACACAAAAATAGTTATACATTTTTGTCGATTTTCCTTTTTCTTGAAAATAAAATGCTGCAGCATTAAAAAATACCATTTAAAATCCAAATTATTCATTAGTTTTCTGTTGATAAAAATATGAAAAAGTATTTTTGTAATGATTTATTTGTGTAACCATTCTGAGGGTTAACAATTGAATATTTCAAAAAAAAAAATGAATAAATTAAAATAATTAATTTTTCAAGTGTATGATTTCTCAATGTTTATTACAAAATGCTTACTTGTGTTTTAGTTTAAAAAAGTTAGCAAAAAAAAATTTCTTTTTCTAGACTGAAATATGCTTAAGATTTACTTTATTTTTTAGAAAACTAAAAAAGTTATCGAAAAAGCAAGAAAGAAGTTCCAATTGTAAGAAAAAGAAGAAAAGTAAAAAGACTAAAAAATCAAAATCAAGGACATCTTTTTCGTCTGGTAAAATATTTGAATTTACTTTTTTTTTTGTGTGTAATATACTCTTTTTGTGTTTCTTTGTTAGGATTTTAGTAATCATGCTTCCTTATAATAACTAAAAAAAATTTTAATGTATAATAGTTGTGTGAATTTAATATAGTAGTATATACAGTAAAACTCTTATCTGATTAGCTGAGCCTCTGCTTTAACAAAGTTATCAAATATTTATTGAACTTTATGTTCTCCATTTTCTATTTTTAAAAGTACTAAAAAAATTAAAAACAAAATCCTTAAACACTACTCCTTTACTTTTTTTGTATCACACACCTTTCGACCGTTTTTCTTTTAAAAGTAAGGTATTGCAACATTAAAGGTCAAGGTAAATCTCTATTCATATGACCCTACCTGGAATCACAATTGATGATGACTGAATCAGGGAATGATTGATGGACTAAAAGTTATCAAAATTGCTATTGAATATAATGTAGAGTGTGCAAAATAAAAAACGGACCACCCTAAATAACTTTTGGTCTAATGATCAAATCTTCATGTTCTGGGACTCATTCTTAATGGTTTGAAGGGATGACCTCAAACATGCTAATTAATTAGCGCAGACGATATTTTAAATTACGAAATCAGACACAAAAATGTACTTTCTCTAAATAAACATACCTTTTTTTCGACAGATTCGGTTTTCTGACCCCCAAAATATGGGGGTTACCGCAATCAGGGAAATATGGTCCCAATAGTTTGTTCAGGAGAGTGGTGCAAAGTTTGGACTCCTTAATGTTACTTTTTGCATATTTTGCTACATCCCGAGAACTTTTTAAGCAAATCCAAAAAGTTTTGCCCGCAAGTATAAAATTCATTTATCCAAAGATAATTCCATTCAAAAAAAAGTTTTAGTGAATATAAGTCAAAAAAATTTTTAATTGTAAAGTATGCAATTTTTTACACTACAATTATATAAGATTATATAATTTTACACTGCAAAATGCAAAATTTGAGTGAAATCGATGTAATAGTTTCTAAGAAATCGAATTTCAAAAAAAGTTATATTTTAAAAATTCCATTTCTCTGGAACTATTTTACTCAAATTTTGTATTTTGCCTAATAAAATTGTATTCTTGAAAATGATGTAAAAAATTGCATACTTTACAATTCAAAACCTATTTAAAAAAATTTTGACTATAATAATAAATAAAATAATAAATATTTATTAAAAGTTATTTTTTACATGGAATTATCTTCGGATAAATAAATTTTACTATTGTGTGGGAAAATTTTTCAATTAGCTTTAAAATTTTTGGAGATATGGTGAAATAGGCAAAAAGTAAAGTTAACATTAAGGGGTTCAAACTTAGGATTGCTCTCCTAACTAAATTATTAGGACCAGATATCCCATATACCCCAGAAAGAAAGATATTTTTATTTAGAAAAAGTGTGTTTTTCTGTCTGATTTACATGCATAAAAAAACATCTGCACTAATTAATTAGTATATTTAAGGTCACCTTCTCAAAACAGTAAGAATGAGTCTTAGAACATGAAGAACCAATCATTGGTTAATAATTATTGGTTCAAAGTTTAGTGCATTTCCTTAAATTTAAGGGTAGTGCATTTCTTTTTTGGTGCACTGTACAGCAACAAGAAGCGACACCAGCAATTTTGTTACTCTTAAAATTAGTGTGAGAAACTGCTGTAGAAAAACTATTAAGTAATGTAAACCAAAAATCAATAAAGCACTTTCTCAAAGAAAATCCCTTTAGTTCTCATAACAAAATTAATTGTTTGTGATGTATTTATGTAACTTCTATGTTTGTTAACTTTTAAATTTTCTTATAATTTGCACTTTAACCTAGTGTTTTAGTTTTCTGAATTTGTTTTGCACCTCATTGGGACTTTACTGTATCTTATATCTGTTTTTTGCAAATTATTCTTAAGAAAATTTTGATAAAGCTTTTTTTTTTCCATTCTTTATTATCTGTAGAAACTTAAGAATTTTCATAATTAATTTTTAATATGTACTTTTAGATTCTGAAAAAGAGAAGAAGGCTAAAAAGAAAAAGTCAAAAAAATCAAGTTCATCAGATAGTGATTCATCAAGTGATGAGAGTGAGAAAAGACACAGTAAGAAAAGTAAGCATTTAGAACCCAAAGAGCATTTAAAATCTGAAAAGAAAAAATCAAAAGGAGAAGAACATCAGTCTCAAGAAAAAAAACACAGTAAAAAAGTGTTTGAAGAAGATATGGATCTAGGAAAATCTGCTTTGAAAAAAGACAATGAATATAAAAAGGAAAGAAAAGAATCAAGACAAGAGTCATCTGACCATGATAAGTATAAATTTTTTGAGACCAAAGATCAATCTCAGGAAAAATGCAATAGGAAAATGTGCAAGGAAGACTCCAAAGAGGACAATGAACATAAAAAAATAAGAAATAAACCAAAACAAGAGTCTTCTGACCATGAAAAGAATAAAACTACGGCGACCAAACATCAGCCTCAGGAAAAATACAAAAGATCTGCTTCTGAAGAAAGCGATCAACATAAAAAAGTAAAACACGAACCAAATAGTGAGTCTTCTGATCATATTAAGCATAAAAGCATGGGGACCAAACATCAATCTCAAAAATATAGCAGCGAAACATGTGAAGGGGATTTAAATCTAAATAGATATACTTCCAAAGAAGACATTATGCATAAAAAAGTAAGTGAACCAAGGAAGGAGTCTTCCAACCATAAGCATAAAATTGAAGAAAAATCAGTGGATTCAAGAACAGAAAAGAAAAAACATTTTAATAGTAGTTCTGAAGAAGAAAAATATCAGTCAACAAAGAGTGGACAATTTTGTGACATTGTTGACCTACCTCCACCAAAAAGAAAATCTGAAACCTTTTTATGTAAAGAAGACATTACACATAAAAAAGAGAAAAGTGATTCAAGACCAAACACCTCGGACCAAGGTAATAACAAAACCATTGAGACTAAACACAAAATAAGGGACTCACAAACAGAAAAGGAAGGGAAAAATCTTGATTGTAGTTCTGAAAAATCAGAAAAATATGAAGCTTTAAACAAGGAAATGTGTTATGATGCTGATGCCGTCTCTCCGAAAAGAAAGCGTGATACACCTACATCAGAAGATACTTCAAACATCAGTACTGTAAAAAAAGTCAAATATGATCATCCTGACAGTTTCAGCCATCTTTGTCCTCAAGCACACATTAAAACAAATTACTTACTACCTAGTGAGGAATATGTCGGAAAGATTCATGATGAATTTCGTCATCACCATAGAGAAGATAGGTCTCCCTCTGTAAAGCAAAAGTACAATACATAATCCAAGTTAACTCTATCTTATTTTAGATGAGACTGTAAATACGACAAAAAATATGCCCATTATGTAAAACTAAGACAAAGCAAGTAATAGAATAGCTCATCCATCAAACTTTGAAGCCTCCATTTTGTAAAAATGCACCTATACAGTAACTAATGCTACTCTAATTGTGTTATTGTTTGCTGATGATATGAAATCAATGTAACTCTAATAGTGTAATGTAATTTTGAACCAATATTTTGCAAACTATGAATATCTATTTAGATTTTTATGCTTTGTTATAATACAAGCATTATTATAAAATTGTTTCATTTCGATTTATTCCTCCAGTATTGTAATTAGATGCAATGCATATATTATATCATTTGTATAAAGAAAAATAATATCTAAATTTTATTAAAATGTTATTTGACAGAATATATACTTTAGTTTGTCCTTGTCCTTTATTTGTATATGTGAATTGGGATTTTTATGGCAGAAAAGAAAAGTTGGTAATAATTTTGTTTGTAGTAAAAAAAATAAAAAAAAAATTAACCCTTTTGCTGCTTCTAAACTAAATTATGCTATTCTTTCTGCCTTTAAAATTAATTGTTTCATCAAAATGTAAACCAAATGTAGATTAATATGTAAAGAGAAAGGATTTTAAATGTTGAATGTATACAATTATAGATTTTTTAAGTAAAAAATGTGTTGGTTTTCTGTTTATCATTTTGCTTTTAATATTTTTAGGCTAAAAATTCTCTAAAATAAAATATTTTACAAAAACAGGTTTAATAAGTAAAAACTTTAAATATTTATTGTCTGATATAGTAATTGTTTTATTAACCTCAAAGATAATATTTTTCTGATAAATTTCACTGACTTTGCAATGAATTTTAAATTGTTATTAAATATGATATAAACTTNGATTTAGTTGAGACTGATTTCCTTACTCTAAAGGAGAAAAACTGGCGAACAAGTGTCAAAGTAGAGAGAATTGGATTCGAATTCAAAGGAAGGCACTGGCCCACCCTGGGCTGTCTAGCCAGATATGATGATGATGTAAACTTATCGCTTAAGTACAAAATAACCAATTAAAGTTCTCGCCATTTTAGCTTTTCCATTGAAGGAAGCAGAATAAGTACGCAAATTAGTGTATCACATAGACATAGATCATTATAAAAGCAGATCCATCGCACGCTTTCATCAATCATAACTGATGGAACTAATGGAATTGTCAAAAGAGCTGATTCAGTATTGTTTTCTTTACAACTTCAAAGTGGACTTAATAACGGCTGCATCTAAGTTGCCGAGTATTCAAGTGTTTGGGGATAGTGCTGTGAATTAACATATTAAGGCTTTGATTTCAAATATCTGCGTCAGGGGATTCGTTCCTCTGGTATGATCTTTGCAGTGAGCAACTGCAGAGCTTAGATAATGAAGTTTTGCAGGTGGCATTGATTAATACAGTAGTTTAACATCTAGTGAACTTGCAAGACAGTTTAAGGTTTCTTATGAAACAGTTAAGACTTCATCTGCACCACTTAGCTAAGACATACTGCACCACTTAGCTAAGACTAAGTTTTGCGTGTGCTGTTGTTAGAAGACCACAAGAAACAAGTGGCAGCCTGTATATTTTTAATTTTTAGCCACTTTACAGCATTCTTATTCAATCTAACGAATACTACGATGAAAAGTGGGTCCTGTATGACACTAATAAACACTTTGAACATTAGTTGTCACCCCAGGATGTAGTCCCTCACAGCTATCCATCCACGCAAGATTATGCTTTATGTCTAGTAGACTAGTCATCAAGTGGTTCACTATGAGCTGTAAACAATGAACCAAACGGTCACAACAGACCTGTATTTGGAGCACGAGTAACAGAGGTAGCCAGAACTGGTGAATTGCAAAAGTATATTCTTCTTGTATGACAACCTCCAGATATACCATACAACTCCTTGGTTTGGCAATTTTACACCATTCTCCTTATTCACTTGACCTTGTGACACCAGATTACCCCCTCTTCCAATCCCTGAACAATCATCTTGTCAAAAAATCCTTGGAGGATAAAGCTGGCTTGTGCCAAGAACATGGACTTTTGGTCCCAACCTCTCCCCAAGTTTTACTGCAAGGGAATTGCACAGTTGGAAACATGTTGACAGAATGGACTGAGTGCTGATGGAGATTACTTCTAGGTCTAATAAATGGCTATACTTTCTGTGTATATCATTATTTGTCTGGTCATTAAAAATGGCAAGAACTTAAATGGTTCTATGTACTTAACTTTGACCAAATTCATCATTGCATTAGTTCAATTTTTCTTACTACCTATAAAGTGACAGCATTACTTTCAGTCAAATTTAGTAAACAAAAAGTTTAATACCTCCCAATATAAAAGTACAATATTTTGTTACTAGTAGCAGCTAAACCTCACTACTCTAACTCATTACCTTGCGTTACCTCAAAAATAATTAGTGTTTTATATATGTTCATTCTGATACTTCAACGCTATATTTTTCTTCATGGTTGGTGTTCTATCCACATTATTTATAAGATTAATTTTATCTTTAAAGTTTAGAGTTTTTAATTTAACTAAGGCAATTTTGGCGTTAAACACTATCTTCACACAAACTCCAACAGCAAATGATGAAAACAAAAGAAATAAAGCCAAAACTTGATGGTTGTTACTCATTTGGCACTACCCAGGGAGCACGTGTAGCTTAAAGATTGCTACGGACGCGAGTAACATTACTCCCCATTTAGATCAAAAAGTTTGCAGGTAAGAAATTCCTTGATCTGTAAAATCACTTACCTTTCACTTCTAAAATCACTTGTTGCTTCATTACAGTTGGTTAGATGAGAAAAGTAACATAGAAGTAATCAATATCAACCAGTAATCAATCTTAAGCTTCAATCAGTTTTTGAGAATAGGATTTTCAATTAAAACCAATGGGAAATAATTGAGCAGCAGATAACAACAAGCTAAAGCGAAGAAATAATATTACTTTCAAAATAGTATTTCAACTATATAAAAAGCAACAAGTAAAAATGTATTAGGTATGAATTATCAATTACCAGAACAAAACAAAAAATTCTGCCTTCCTGAAATTATTTTTTGGGGAAATCTAAAATTTTCACACAAATATAAATTTAACTATTTAGTACCTATGGAGCCAAAGTCTTCTCTCAAACGTTATTATTGACAGAAATTGAGTTCAATCTTTACTGGTAATACATGCATAAGCAGGATTTAAATAGAAACTTTAGTACAGAGTTTCTTAAGCTACGGGTCCCGTCCGCGATTTTATGCGTTTAAGGACCCGCTCTCCTGTGAAGCATTTTCTTAAGTAAAAGAAAATAATAAATATTGCATTCTTGACTTTTTTTTAGTTCAGGCAACAAATTTTAAAAGAAATAAAAGCTTGCATTTTTATCCCTACCAACTACAACCAAGAGAATCCCCAAGAAAGAGAACGAGTCTTTAAAGTCTCACCCTCAATTGGGGACATAAAAGTTTTAGCAATTTTTATATTTCCTTAACATTAATTTTATAATTACCAAATATTTTTGCACTATGTGTCTGAAAATTAACGATAAGTATATTTATGGAAAACTATAAAATAAAAGACAATATTTCGCTTCCTCACACCCTTTGTTTTTTAAACTATTTGTAAAAAATTTACATGGTTGATTTTGTTCTTTAATGGACAACTAGTCAACTTTTCATTTTGTGACGTAGCTGCTAAGTTTCTTCACCGTGTTAAAAGGAAAAACGTAAATATTTACCGCATCCAGGCCCCATTCTTAGCTCTGAAAACGAACAAAGATCAGTTCTGAAACGTGTGAAAAAGTATTCCTCATAAACAAAGCACAGCTCGTTACGTAATAGAATCAGTTGAACCTCTTTTCTGGCTTCGGAGATCACCTCAATATGAGGCAAATATTTGAACGAAAACAGTGAGGAGGCTCAGTCTCATTCCGTTGTGCCTTTTATTTTAGCCAGAAACAGTAATTTTTGTAATATTTATTGAAAACTTTTCATCGACCGTCGAAAAGACATCGCCAATGAACTTGCCCCAGGATAACTTTCATTACTCTAATATACTCTATCCAACAACTCTGCAAAATTTTAAAACTTACAGGATTATGGCTCAATCCGTAATGCACGAAGCACTACAATATTATATTGTAACTTTTTTTTTAACTAGAAAGAATAGCCGAGATCGAAATAAAATTTAATAGCAATTACTATTTTGAATGGAGAAAAATTCCAGGAATCAAGTGAAAACAGACAAATGCCATAACACATTTTTACAATATACTTTTAATATTAGTAATAATTAGCTTCACTGTTCTTTTTCTTTCTGAAAAAGGGCAATTTTATTAGCATAGCTCTTTCTTTGCCTACTATTCACCCTCCTCGCAAACAACAGGCTTCTTTTGCAAGGAATACCACGTGAATCTCAGACGAATTGGTGAAAAAACAGACACAGGTGGATTGAAATTGACACATTAAACTATTAATTTATTTTAAATGAACACATTTAAATTTGATCAAAACGATAGAAAATATTAGAAGCTTATTTCCTTAGTAAATGCTGAGGTTGTTAAATACGATGATGTCGGAGTTTAAATCATCACAAACGCCTTTAGCATAATATATTTAATACCAAGAACATGCAAGATGTTCACGATACAGTGCCATAGTAGAAACTGATTACAATTAATGATTTTACATTACTGAGCAGAGCGACATCTGTTGAGTTTTAAGAATTATTATTAACATTGAGAAATATTATTAACAGAGGTGTCGAAACAATATAAATTTTGAAATCAAATTTCGGTCAAAATTTAAATTGAGCGAGCTGTACGTATATTTGTAATATAAGTTTGCCATCTGGGCATAATACTAGACAACAAAATAGGTCTCTGTTAGAGATGAGTTCGGACTCACTTTTAAAGATCCAAACTCAAAGATTTATAATCTGAGCACGAGGTATAGGATTACTTAAAGCCCAAACCCGCCCAAGACATACATCGGGGAATTTCTTCTGTTCTTTGAGGATAACCAATCTATAAAAATATATATTAACAAATGAAAATTACCAAATTATAAATTAATAATATGCAAAATGCATGTTATGTTAAATGAAAAGAAAGGACAAGAAATGCTCGACGCTACTTATATTTAAAAAAGACTCGATATTTAATGTAAGAAAAAGAGAATTGGCTTACCCATTACTTGTAATAATGCGTTTATACTGTATGTTTAATATGTATTCAAGTTGAGTGAGGAGTTTTTTATGTTCATAATTCACAATTATAGTTCAGTATGCATATTCAGTGAAATAGATAAGGTCTTTAAATACCTTCTGCTCTGATACATTTCCTGTCATTTTTAAATCCCCATAATGTCTTTAGAAAAGTATCGAGTCCA